TTATTTTAGGAAACCACCCTACGTTTTTTTTACGGCTATTTTTCGTTGTATAGCCGCGCCAACGGATAGAATAACGTGGTTCATAAACCTTAGCCTAACCCAGCTGCTAAAATTCATTCCAGCCCATCTACCTAACACCAAAATATTTCTAGACCACCTATGGCGCGCGAAACCAAACAGCACGCGTGTAATGGAGTCACTCGATGTTACGTCACTTTATACCAACGTGTCCAATGACTCCGCAATGCAAGCCATTCTCGAGTTGCTCGTAGAGCATGAAAAGAAAATAAAAGTGTACGGCTTGTCGATTGCGCAACTAATGACTCTCTTAAAACAGTGTCTTAGTTGTTCAATCTTTAGGTGATCTGGAAAATATTTTACACAAATTAGAGGGTTTGGCTATGGGGCAGCGTTTAGCACCAAGTCTTGCCATAGCTTTCATGTCTAAGGTGGAAGCTCTAGTTCTCGATCTTACTCTACTGCCGATACATAGACGACTGCTCAATCGTCTGTTCCACAAAAGAACAGATGGATGAGTGCTTTGAGTTATTAAACCGACAGTCAGAGTATATAAAATTTACACGAGAAAAACCTACGGAGAACTGGCTTCCATTCTTAAACATCCAAATAAAGATCTCAATAAGTGGCTATGTAACAAAATGGTATCGCAAGCCAAGTAGTAAAAACATTCTAGTTCACTGCCTCTCCTCTCATCCTTCACACATGAAAAAAGCACTTTTCAAAAACATGTATCGTACAGCTAAAAATGTGGGTACAGGAGAAAAGGAAAGGAAGAAAAAAAATCTGTCTAAACATCCCTCTAGGTACGCATAGGGCACAAAAGCACAACGGCGATGATTTTGAAGTGACTGTGCGGATCCTAGCGCAGGAATCAAAAACATCAACGCGCAAAACTCTTGAGGCGTTTTGGATAAATTTCAAAAATCCAAAGATGAACCGGAAGGACGAATGCCTCACTATCACGCGTGACCTGGCGCTCTATTTCAAAATAATATTTTGACCCCAGGGTGTGTCTTGCTTGCGACCCCACGTGAACTACGTGTGGGCCCGTCCCATACGTAACATCACGGTGAGTGGCCTTTCTGCTCAATATGGCGTCCATTTTAAGGTTTGATCTTCATTAATACTTTAATTTTTTTTCACCGAATAATAAAAACATTTTAATATAAAATATGTCCAGGCTCTGAGAAGGCGAAGTCGCCAAAACGTCAACCATCGACCAACAACATCAAAAACAACGACAACGGCAGCGAAGACCTGTACCAAGCTCGCGTCAGCTTAAGAAGATCAGTTTACAAGATCATATAAATAAATATATCAACTATCTCAGCAGCGTTGTGGGTGTAGTTCGCATTACACTTTGCAGTGCAAAATTATAGTAAGCAACAAATGAAAAGTTAGCCATGAGATTACTAATATTTGTCGAACATGGATTCCCCTTATAGAAAGAACTCAAGCCGGTTAATCGCTAGGTAAAGTGGTCCGCCCAAAGGTGGCGCATAGAGGGTTCATCGCCGACCAAAAGCGATCTCTGCTTCGCTGAGACGCAGTTGGATTTAGCGCATGATTCTGTTCTCGTATATGTGGATTGTACCTTGCGAATCGATTCGGCCAAAACTCTGCAATCAAGTAAGAAGAAACTATATAGGAGGTAATTAGAAGTCGTCTGCAACAAATAAGCTCCCTCGTCGATTCTGTTAAGATACATGTGAGTGTACCTAGCACCCATGTTCAAAGGTTAGCAAGCTATACTTGGGTATCAAAAAAATAAACACACTAAAAGGAATGGGCCTCAATCACCTGACCCCGAAACAGCTCCAGATTTGGCAGGGTAGGAAAGGACGAGTACGGAGAGGCTGCTGAACTCTCAGGGCTATTCAAAGCTGTCTAAGTAGCGAAGGACTAAGGTGACGATCTGCGCCTACAATGCAGGCACACCAGCATCTGAGTCTTTAATAGAAAACGTGTTGATGCAAGCAAGAAGGATAAGGTACGATGTCATCGGTATGGCCGAGATGTGACCACGCCACCCACACCGTCTATGACTTCGAAGAAGAAGTGTTATTCGGAATATGTGACAATAGAGTAGTTGGCGGTGTAGAAGCTTTCGGCAACAAGAATTTGGAAATGAACCGATTCATTCGAACAACTAACAACTCGAATCGGATATATACGCTTAAAGAGGTGCGTATCAATACTGGTTTTGAAAAAGTTTCGCCGCCCACGCATCGGCGGGGAAGACGAGGTTAAACCGTTCAGTATGAAGTTGGAGAAGTTCTACATGGAAGACCATGCATTATTTAAGGTCATAATTAGTTCTGACACTAAGATTACACAAAAAAGGCGGTCAAATTGGAACTCACCAATTAGAATGGGACGAATAGCGTGAGCGGATCTCTGAGTTCTTCATGGCGACCAAGGCCGTTCATGATAACTCGTAATTTCAGAAGTCCCACTATCAAGGGTGGATGTGGGAGTCTACCAGTGGAGAGTACGATCACGAAATAGACCACGTCATAGTAAATCTAAACTTTTGCTTAGTCGCTTTTGTCCCAAAATTCTACAAGAGATATGACCATCGCCTCGTTCGTCCAAGGTTTCATTTTTCACGAAAAGGAGAATAAGCCGCGAAATTCAAAAAACGAGGTCCCAAAACCAACATAAGCTGGTATATATTCTATACATTAGTCGATTGTTGGAGCGATGCCATTTTCGACAACATCAACGAGGAATACTATAGTACATTCAACGTCTTCATGTTAGCGGGACACTGGAATGAGACAACATGGGAGTGAAGATCGATGGTCGGTAATTACACTGCCTTCGCTTTGCTGATGACATCGTTCCTGTAACGCAAAGCGCAACGAATGCTTGCCGATTTTGATAAAACCTGTGGAAAGATTGGTCCTCGACGAAATCTCACAAAAACAATGTTAAGTTGAAATGGATTGTTTTCGTTTGCACCATTCACGCTCAGCGGTAAGAGTGTTGCTCTAAATATGTCTGTATAGGTGGAGAAGGCAGCATAATGAACGACTTAGCTCAATAGTTGAGCCGAAGTAAGCGAGCGCTTTGGGAACTTTCAAGAGCATCGAGGATGTCGTTAGGTGAACAAAGAACGCCCGACTCCATGCCCACCTCTGCGAACTCCCGATTCTTCCTGGCTTAACGAATCCGTCAGAAACCTAGTCGCTGCATAAGCAGGATGAAAGATGACTCAACGATATTGAATGCGCGGTCGAAAGGATGGTGCTAGGAGAATCCCGTGTCACATAAGTGAGGGAAACGAAGCAAATATCCAACGTTAACGATCAAAAATCAAAGACGCCGTTCAATATATCTAACTGTCGGGATAAGGTGGGTCGGACATGTAGTGCGTATAAATGACAACCGATGGACAAGAGCCGTTACTGAGGGAAATCACCTGCGTACCTGATAGATCTCATCAGGAAAATCCTAGAAGAAAGATGTGATGTTCAACGAACACCTAGACGGAGCAAAACTCACATGGCTACTTTTGTACACAATGGGAAGAAATGAAAGATTTACTCCCGCATACTCGAATCGACAATCCAAGAAGACAAGTGATAGAGGTGACAGAGGAAAACCCGCCCGCGAAAGTTTGAAAAGCGAGAAAATATGAAAAAATAGGAGGAAGCATAAATTGAGAAAACGCGAAAATATCGATCGGTAATTAACGAAAATATGATATAAAGAATAAGAAATGGGAATCACAGTAAAGGAATTTTAGTTAATGGCTTAGAATGCGAGATGACGGTAATTTTTGCCACCGATTACTACTTTCATGTCTAAAACGAAAAACATCATATTGGCCACAGAAAAATCAATATCTCACAAGAATGTGCTGAAATATGGGTTCTTCTTCTCTAAAATAAAAATAATCAAAAGACAGGAAGAAAAACTGAGATGAGATTAATTAGTTGTTGACAATATGAAAGCTCTAGCACAAGTTTTAAGAGTCCAGCAAAGGAAAACCTATCCTAACCAGTAAATTCCCAATTAAATGTAAATTTTGCTGAACTTTGCACAATTTGGCGTGATTTATGAAGAAGGGTATTCAGATATTTAAGTAAGTTTCTTGATAGCACACTGGTTCTCTGAAACGCCAATGAGTACTCACCAGGACTTCGATACCATCGCGTTGCTACGTAATCTGTGTACATCTCTTGTGGATCTGAAAATGACCAGATTTTGTCCTTTAGGGCGAGATGAAAGAACGTCTCAACAACTGGGAGCGCGAAATGCTAATACGCACTGAACCAACAACATTACATTACTGCTACCACTACACTATTTTGTTAGGAATAATATGATATTTTGTTAACATATTCGCGATGACGATCAATTTTTTCTTGGTACCACGTGAGGCCACGCATAATTTCCAGCCTTTAACGAACGCGGAAGTTTTCTGATAATTGACGGCAGTTTTCCGATAACCACAGGACTCCAGGGGTTATGAACATCAAAGGAATGGTGAGAGACGTTGGACATATGGCCCGTTTCACGAACTCATCGCTGGCGCATCGTTTCATTTGTAAGACTTTTATAGGCTATGCTTGGTCTATTTCTACACATTTCACACCCACCCATAGAATTGAAATAACAGTAAATTTACAATCGAGTTGCCATTCTCGTTCAAGAAAAAGCTTTTAATGTATTTCTATGATCAGAGTAGAGCTTTTCTCAGACGAAGCCAACCACAGTATCTGTGTTCGATAAACTATCGCCTCATCGGGAAAACTGTAGAAGAAGGATTCTGTGCTCCAAAGTAAACTATCAAAAAAAGACGACCTGCAGGTCGTGCCACACACAATGCTCCTTTACATATGACTCCTATAGAGGTACGTCGCCACGAATTTGTTAAACACTGGATGCAAAGCATTGCGAAGCAGTAAATTTAGTGAAATGCGATATCACTGAGAAAAATAACAAACAGTAAACGTATGAAATAAATATCTTTAAATCTCACTAATAATTCGTGCAAAGCCAAAATCAGCCAACTTGACCACGTCATTCTTCGTGAGCAAAATATTTTCCGGTTTAACATCTCTAAACGATTTATCTTCAGCGATACAAATGTTTTATATCACAATTTTAAGTGATTTTCTTCGTATTTTTGTTGAGCAAACGCGAGGTGTTACTATTCTTTGTTCACGATTAAGCTGACGTTTCGGCGGATTTCGCCTTCTTCAGAGCCTGGAAAGGTCAAGTTGATAGCAACCCACCCGGCCAGACGCCTCCATAACCAAACAAAGAAACTCCAAACCAAGATTTCAATCACTTTGAACACAGCTTTGCACACTCACCGCTTTCTATGAGGTTTCCACTAAGTATGTCACGTAGAGACCAACCGCACAGAAATCACGTGGAAGTATAATGTGCCCCTCACATCAGAAAAGCAGTTTTATATACTGCCCTATATCACGCGTGATAATGAGGCATTCTTCCCTGTGGTTCATTTTCGGATTTCTGGAATTAATCCAGAGTGCCTCGAGAGTTCTTCGCGCCTGTGTTCTTGATTCGCGTGCGAGGATCGTGACACATACTTCGAAGTCGTCCCCGTTATGTCTCTGGGTCCTATGCGTGCCCAGCGGGGTATTTGGTCTATTTTTGCCGGCTAGGTGTTCTTTCATGCGGACACAGAGGGGTCTACTCGTTTCGCCAATGTATTCGTCACCACACGTCTTACAGGAGGTCAGATAAACTATACCCGAGCTCATGCAATCATCGTCTCTACCACTGGGGCAAATTATGGAATTTTGAGTTGCACATAGACGGTCATATAGGCGGTTACGAACTAGCTGGCGCTTAAGATTACTCGGTGGTATTTCAACTACGCGTACCGAATTCTCTAAGCCCGCTCTTCTCAAGCAGCGTTTTATAGCTGTACTTATATCATTTGAAATGAAGGGTAGGATAAATTCTAAACCCGTCCTTCTCAAGCAGCGTTTTATAGCTGTACTTATATCATTTGAGATGAAGTGTAGGATAAGCGAAACCTTTTTATCGCTAGAACTGTCGTTTGGGTGCCTAGGATTTCCTCTACGCCTATTCTGAGCTACAGTTTCGTAGCCATTAGAGATGGCTATTTGTCGTGCCAAGTTCCGGGACTCCTCTCTCTGCTCTCTTCTCGTGCACACGTTGGTTGCCGTTCGAAACATGTTTCTTATAAGCGCCCTTTTCGTGTGAGAGGGGTGAGAGGAGAGGTAATGAACCAATATATTTTTACTACTTGGCTTTCGGTACCACTTTGTAATGTAGCCATTTTCTGATAGGTGAATTTGTACGTTCAAAAATGGAAGCCATTTTTCTTTCGGCTTTTCTCGGGTGAACTTGATATACTCTGACTGTGCGTTTAACAATTCGAAGCATTTGTCCATTTCCTCTTGTGTTGAGCAAAGGACAAAGCAGTCGTCTACATACCTACAGTAGAGTAGCGGCCCGAGATCAGTCACCGGTGCTTCCACCTTAGACATAAATGCAATGGCAAGGCTTGGAGCCAGTCGTTGTCCCATTGCCAACCCTCTTATTTGAGCGTAGTACTTTCCAGACCATCTGAAGATTGAGCAGCCCAAGCATTCTTTTAAGAGTGCCATCAGGTGCTCTATCCTGAAGCCATACATGTTTATTTCTCCTTCGTGTTGTGTAAGGAGTTCGAATATGGCTTGCATTGTGAAGTCATTCGACACGTTTGTATAAAGGGCGGTAACGTCGAAGGACTCCATCACGCACGCGCTGTTGGGCTGCGCAGTACGTAGACGATCCAGAAACATCTGGGTATTCGTAAGATGGGCTGGAATGTGTTTCAACAACTGGTTAAATATTAGGGTTAAAAACCATGTTATCCTGTCCGTTGGCCCGTCTACACAGCTAATGATAGGTCTAACCTTAAATAGTGATGGATCGGTAGACGCAAGATCATCGCTGGATACTAACTTATGAGTTTTTATAAGTAAGTACAAGACGGGGCATGTTGGTAAGGCAACTTTAAGCTGAGAGATAACTGATGGTTTCAAACCAGCAGCCCTTGCCATTTTGGCCCATTCGTGGTTTAGTTTTCGGTTCGGATGTGAGGGACACATTATACTTCCACGTGATTTCTGTGCGGTTGGTCTCTACGTGACATACTTAGTGGAACCTCATAGAAAGCGGTGAGTGTGCAAAGCTGTGTTCAAAGTGACTGAAATCTTGGTTTGGAGTTTCTTTGTTTGGTTATGTTTGGCGTCTGGCCGAGTGGATTGCTATCAACTTGACCTTTCCAGGCTCTGAAAAAGGCGAAATCCGCCGAAACGTCAGCTTAATCGTGAACAAAGAATAGTAACACCTCGGGTTTGCTCAACAAAAATACGAAGAAAATCACTTGATGAATGCCGAGGTTAATAGAAAGTCGGTCGTGGCAGTTACAATTTTAAGTTATTACCTATTGCGTACTCTTTTTAATGACAGGGTATGTTGCGAAATATAACTTCAATGAGACTGAGATATTTCCGAAACTCCGGACCGCAGGTGTGTGCGGTAGGGAACGAACGCGCTATTGTCTTTTCCGGGAAATAACGCGTTCACCACCGCATCATGCAGGTCCTTCGTTTCTCTTCTCTCTCAGGTAGTTATATGTTTTATATCTCTATGTTATCACCCTCATGAATACGGAAAGAAACAGAAACTGTTCTACTTTTTCTTTTTTGCCGAGTAGTTGAATTTCAAATGCGCTGTCACTCACCTATGTATGCACTTATGTGAATGGCAAAATCGCAATGCCTCCAACAACTGCCACGTGATTTTCTTCGTCATTTCATCGGGCACACTGAAAGAGCACTTGATTAAAACAGAATGTATAAAAATTTTTCCAGCTGTACAAGAAACTTAGCCTGATTTGTTTAATGTATTTAAAATCTAATGGGAACATCGTTAAAACACAGTTATGTCTAGAAAAGCATAGATAAAATTGCTACTTAGCAGAGCCTAGAGAACTTACTGTGCATTTTTTCTCTTGTACAAGCTACAGCTTATTTTTTCATTCGTTTGCAACGGTAGCTATGGAAGCAGTCCTTCGATTGGGAAATAAATGTGTTAACTAAGAAAATTCAAAATTGTGCTGTGTTTCTTAAATGGTCAGGAGACCACCATTTCAGCCGACCCAGTCCTCATGACGGGCATTGGCTTTAGCACATTTTCTTTCAGTGGTTCATCTTCCCACAAAGGGTTTTTTGATAGACATTTTGCATTCGTTTAATAGCCTACCCAATGCGTATGGTGCATCAGCCGTCTGTTCGAGAAGGCTATTTTCTACATTTAGTAATTCATAAAAAGCTGTCTCTCAGACGAAGTTGGACAAGCTAAGTGTATTCGGATCACTGAAATTCGACGTTTCGGTGCAGTTTCATAACAATAGGCTGTCATTCCACTTTCACTTGATATCAGAAATCATAGTCATTATGTGCAATTGCCCGATAAAGAAGTACCAAATTACACTAAAAGTAGGTTTCGAAACACTCGCAAATGTTGAGAGTAGTAAGGTTGATTGAAGAACCATAATAAGATGTGGTGAATAATGACATATCTATCGCTATAGAGAACTCGCCTCAATTACCCTGTGAGGTCTTCAACTCCGCATGTTTTCAGTTGTTGAAAACCGAAGACTGTTATCTACTCACAGAGATTAGTTGACTTGCTGACGACTTAAACGAAGTCCACTAACGAGCCAAAACTAGGCTCGGAGTGCTATTTGTCATGAAAGAGGGTCGAGTTCAACCGGGATAGCGCAGTGGTCATAATAAAAGTTAGGGTGAGGTATGTGCTGCCTGGTCCATTTTGGCAATTTTTGGCTTATTTTTTTCGAATATTGCGTCTAGCAGGTTTCTAATTTTCTGAGTTTTTGAGGCGTCATCCCTTACTATAAGTACAACGCTAAGTTTTCTACACCAACGTCAGTCTCGGCAGCAATTCCTAAGTATTCATACTTATTAAATCAAAATGCACTCCGACATATCATCGCAATTGCCTCCATTTCACTAAATTTTCCCGGATAACTGAATGCGTCATTTTCTGACAAATCCTATGTTTAGACTCTGGCTGCATTGTTTCCTCGAATCTCTTTATCTATAGTAAACAGATGTTAACCATAAGTGATTCACCCATTCGGGTTCTTCTCCAGATCGTGCAGTACAGTGCGGTCACAGTGCTCGAAAACCAGATGAAGTTTGCGATTCCGTTTGAAGACCTCCAACAATGTAACGAGATTTGGATGCTTCAATTGCTGCAATGTTCAGATCGTTTTGAAGTCATGATGTATTCATTTTTAATTTACATGTATTTACGAATTAGGTTTTCATAAAAATGTCGCCATTTAATTATCAACAGTCGTGGTTTACATCGGTGTTAATAAACGTTTTTTTTTTCGTTCATGAATGTGTTTTCCGTTCATACACAATTATTCAATGTCCACAAAAAATTGATTTTCAAAGAGTTTCTTTCTGTGGAAACCATATATATTGATTAACCTCGTTTTGGGATCAACAGTGAAGCCGTATCGTGTAGAATATGATTTCTAAAAAAACCACAGTGCTTGACTTGCTTACCTTCAACATTCGAATTTCCCTTAAAGCAATCTTTTTAATTTGTGGATCGTCTTCTGTTTCGACAAATTTCTTTATGGCGACGATCTGAAAATCGTCTTATGAAAAGAGCCATCTATTGATCTATCATCTTTTAAATATTAATCATCTGTTAAGTACTGTAGGATAGTAGGTAGGACATACACAAACATTCTAAAATGAAAACTCCATGATTTAGCAGTTGTCGTCCTTCTAACGATTCAAAATGCAGTTAAACGAGATGAAGAATAAAAGCATTTGAATAAGTTTCGAACAAAAGCCGTTTTCAGAGAAATGAAGCACCTTTTCACAACGCCTAAATGCTTACGAAGCACTACCATGAAATGGCAAACTAAGGCAAGCGAATTTTCTCCATTTGCCTAATTTTTCTTTTCGAAAACACTCTCGCCTTGCAATGCTCAAATGATGGCGGTTATTAAAACCTGATGCTGAGATATTTGCAAGCTCGCAACCACAATCTAGCTTCAACTCAGTGATTACCCTTTCCGGCAGATTGCGTGTTAACCACTGCAGCACCGGGGCCCGTATAATGTATTGCTTTCAGACGGCTTTTTACCCTAACGGTGCTATGAAGAATAACCCATTAATGAGAGTGGTCTGAGGAGCACAAATCGCCATTGAATTCCGTTAGTCTGGATCATCGTTAGGGTAAAACCAGCAGGGAGAAAGGCATAACAACGTCGTCGGTGGTGGAGTGGGTAACATGTTAGCCTCCTGAATGCGTGGTTACGGGTTCGAACCTGGCTATGGGTTCTGCGTTTTGGAAATACTTTGACATCAAATTGTTGCTGTATTTCAAATAGTACACACCAACGAAAAAAATAATAGGCAGTAAATAAAAATTTAAACATGGTCAAGGTTTTCAATTTAGGAAAAAAAAGAAAGAAGCCTTTAGGCCCTAACGCAGTAGAAATCCTCTACGCATTAAACGATGAAAGGTTAAAGCTCTTGGCGTTGATCAATCTCCGAGGGATGCGCCATGCATTCGATTTCACTGAGCATCACTTGGAAGTGACTGAATGCATATCTGGCCTTTACAGTGACTGGCGGTAGCCTACCAATGTATCGAGCCAGTGCGGATATCCTCCCAGACAAGCCTGGCACCAATTTGCCGACTCTTGAGGGATGGAGGGCTTGGTGAGCTACGGGCGCGGGAATCAATCCCACGTGTGTGTTGCAGGGCGCCTCCGACCACTGCACCACACGCGCCCTCTACGCATTATCGTGCTAAAAATACGTTCGTCGAATTAAGAAACTTAAATATTAAAAAGATGTGAAATATTAATTGCGCTGTCAACTGTTCAATGAGTTGTAGGACCTCGTTTTTAGGAAAGCATAGAAAAAGAATGGGTTTCACAGGAAACAGTGGGACCTCGCTTTTAGGAAAGCATAGAAAAAGAATGGGTTTCACAGGAAACATTTCTCACTTATCTTGTTGAACTCACCTGTCCATTATCTCGATTTCTACACTTGTAGACGACCCCATACGATCCTTCACCGATTTTTCCAAGTTTTTCGTACTTTTCCATTGCTTCGCATCTCTTTCCGGCTCCACTAAAAACGATAAGGGCTTCCGGGTTTATCTCTCTTCATATTTATCCCCTGGGTTAATCAATCAGTGATTAGTGAGGAGAACGTTGTGCTCCATTAGAGCAAACGACAAACGTTAGAGGAGCACCGAGGTGCTACGCCAATAACCAAAAGCTCCATTAGAAAGAACATTTGCTCATTTTTTTACTATTTAGAAGAGAATGAATTCTTAGAGGATTAGTGATGGTAATGTCCTTCACTGTGACATTTCGTTGCATAAATGATTCGAATGCGAACCATCTTTGACACCACGTTGAAACACAACAAGCAAAATTTTTAAACAAATGTCTGTAAGACCATGCAAAAGCGTTTGCTTCAAATTTCTCACCACATTTCCTAAATTGGTGCAAAAGGATCAAGTTCCCACAATGAAGTCCACATGATGTGGCTGGAAGGTGTTCTTACGTGTTAAGCTGTGACTGACAGCTAGAGTTATCCCGGTGAAAACTTTCAAGGGTGGAATGAGCTCGACATTTCGGAAGCATAATTAAAAGAAGGCCAGTGCTTTGAATCATCACCGTCTTGCTGAAACCTAATCACAAAGTAGGAAATTTCCCTTAGATCGAAAAGAGATGGCAAGTGTTTGTCGCTTGATTTTATTCATGGAACAGGACCACTCAAGTATATGTAATTCGGCACGTCAGGGCATTGCTTATGTGCCAGCGCACTGTATTTCATATGTCGCAGTTATTTTTAGGAACATTTCCAGCAACAATGCTTGCAAATGTCATCCATAGATAACTGAGCAAAAGTGTGCGCATACGAAAGGACAGGGGAAAAAGAAGATAATAAATAAAATAAAATGTAATATGATGTTGGAAAAAAAAGAGGTGACCTTGAAGATATATGATATGGATACCTAGGAAAAGAAGAGGGATAAAAGACAAAGTCTACAAGTGAAAAAATGTGATCAACTGTACATCTGGCTAACGCGTCGAGAATAAGTTATCGTCAGCCGTTGCTATGACGACGGTCACGATCTAAACGAGCTCCTAGAATGATACCTCCATGAAAGAAGACAAAGGAATCTCTTAAGTCCTTTAAATCTTTACAGTTCTGACCAATACGAAGAATTTAGTAAGAAGTATAAAAATGTTTCATTGTGGCAAATGTCTGACCTCAAAGAACTACTGCAAGCGGAATGAAGTAAATAGTAGTTGTAAAAACCAGTATCAGTAGAGTATCAGTAAGATCAGTAAGTTCGTAAGTTTTATTCGTTTCAAAGAGGATTCGCTAGTGTAGGCGAGCATAAAACTAGTGGGTCTACCACAGAGTAAGTGGAAAGCCAGTAGAAAAGTGGTCAACCATATGCTACTCTGATCAGCGACTCTTCCTCGGTGGATGTAGTAGGCTCTCAACTAAGGACAGAATGAACAAAATAAAGTGGAAATAAACGGTGACCTCATTGAAATACACCTCTATCTTATTCAAAAATTTGTACATAGCCTAAGTAAAAATTTAAGCTCTGATTGTCTGTTCATGGCAAAGAAAAATCAGTGTTTTCTCGCAATTTCAATCATCAAAAAATGGACTGACTGTGAGGATCCGAATTACTTTTTCTCGTAAAAGTCTGAAATTGTGATGCGTCAAAAGCCTTACCGCAAAAAAAAACGAAGAAAAAATTTAAACAAGAAGAAGTTCAAGGATTACAGAACCGAAAGATGAAAGCCTTTCACCCTTCCACAGTGCCATTTTTTTGTACCAGACCATACCACCCATTTACTCCGGGCGAAAAATCTATTCTCTCACAAATTAGGCTAAAACGCCGGTACGGTGCAAAAACGAAAGAACGAATATTTAAAGATAAGAACAAGGAACCCTCTTTATACAGAAACAGCTTATTAAGAAAGTCCAGTTGACAAGTATGGGAAGTAGGTCAAGCTTTAACACTGTGTCTATTACGTATAACTACATTAGTCAAGATGTGCTGGCTGTTTCTTCTACCTCTCCAAGGATTGACCCGAAAATAATAGGAAAGCAAACATCGGTTTGGCTGTATCCTCTATACCAACCTTCATTCTACACTGAAAAAGAAAACGTGCTTCATCCGAATGCTGCTTCATCGAAAATATCAAGAACCTTCTATGAAGCTCAACCAATCTGGCAATGGGATTTCAAAACGAAACCTGCACATGAATCACATAAACCTCAGCGTTGTCGCGTATAGCCGGAAACATCACCTCTTTCTTTCCTTGTGAACAGAAACTTTTATGCGGATTGGAAGAACTGCTTGCAGCTCACTGCTTCTAACTCCACAGACGCTTATTCTAAAGCTGGAGTGTTTATATTTATGATTCCATCTCGAACTGCAGAAGTACAATTTCGCGGTGGCTTCTCTAAACTGGGAGCTATAGGTCGCAGATTGCGGAGCAAAGAAGGAATTTGAATTTCAGTTGATTTTTATTCCAGCTCCTTAACGATGTTTGCTAATCAGATCATTATCGAGCGTTCAATAGCTCATGTTACGTGAGTAAAAATCAAGGTTTCCTCACACATACAGCACATTGTCCGTTGTTCTAAAGTGAGATTTGAAGCGCTTATCGCTTTCACATTGGCGCACCACCAACTTGCTAGACTGGTTAAGAATCTACTCTCCAGCAGATAAGGTGAATTCTTGCTGTGCAAATGCTCATATGGTCAGCAATTTTCCCACTTTTTAGTTTCTACTGCTTCTACTTACGATTTTGCTTTACAGCACTATGAGGAGCCGCCACGTTTCAAGCATCAGACGGCAATTGAATCTGCTACAGTATATACGATAATTCCTCTACATCCGATCAGAAATATTGGGGTGTGTTCTAGGAATAAAGAAATCTTTGCTATCTAAATATTTTCTTGTTTACCTGAAGTCTCTGAGTTTCACAAAAACGTTGCAAATGGCCACGGAGACAATGTTAGAAAAGAAAACGCTGGAACGTAGTGTCGAAACGTTGGGTAAATAAACCTTTTTTATTAACCTGAAGCTAGCTTAATAATTCAAGGTATTCAATCGATTTATTTTTCAGAAACATTAAGTTACGTAATGTGTGGCAGTTATAACTGCGACCGCAACCAAAGAGTCGGAAAGCACTTCGTAGAACATTCGAGCACGTCCGGTGCTAACTGGCGGATTTTGTGCACTCTCAGCAATTGTGCTTCCTTCAAGAAAAAGCATAAAGAGACAATAACTAGACCCATGCGAAGAAATGAGCGAAAGCCGACGGCGAGTGTCATGCATGCGCATTTGCAATGAATTTAGCCCATATTTCCATTAAAACAACGGCATTATCCTTTGCTTTCACGTTTTCAGTGGGCTATGATTACCAAAATATGTGCGAGAAGTATCCAAAGCAGCAATATGCTTCATCCTCTGTAATAATGGGTTGTTATAGTGCAATTCTTTTTCTTCAATAATAAGCGACGGGGTGCCAAAAAGTTGAATCTTTATGAAGCGCTCCACTTCTAATGGAACTCCAGACTTTTACAATACTTTTTACGATTATATTCAGAAGCAATATTAGTGTAACTTCGATAAGAATATTGAGATCCAAAACTGGTAAAATGAAAAGCTGCGATAACGCAAGTCCATACCGAATGTGTGGTATGTAAAATTGATGAGTACATTTTATTAGCACTATATCTATTTACCGCTGAGGAGAGTTTTGCCAAGACTATACGGCCGAGACACTATGACGAAATCATGGATTATTAACGCGTACCTGGTCCGAAGAAAATTTGGCTGCTATGGAAACTCGCACCTACATCAAGTAAAAATATAGACGATACAATAATATGGCATTGTGTCAAGTTAATGAATCGGTCATGTCACATGATTTATCTCTCCTTCAGAGTACGTTCTAGAAGAACAAAGCACTTTTCGTAATCTGAGGGTCCCAACTGAGCATCATGCAAGGCAACTCGCTATAGGAAAGGCATCATTTTCGATTAAAAAAAAGTGACGAGAACCCTCGTCAAGGGGAAAAAGAGGTTTTAGGAGGCGACTTTGAAATATGATTTAATAATCGGAAAACTTCTTCATATTCTTGTTTGGCAAACAGGTGGTTGGTATTGGTTTAGTGTTTTCTCTGCTTAGTCACTGAGGTGTTTGGTTAGGTAGATTGCGGTCAACATGACCTTTCCAGATTCTGAGGAAGGCGAAATTCGCCAAAACGCCAGTTGTGCATAAATAAAGAAATAGAATAACACCTCATGTCTAATAAACAAAAATATAAAGAACTGTCCCGTCAGTGACGAGGTTAATAGAATGTCGGTCGTGAGAATCCAGAAACTGTTGAACTAGTGTTAGATCGTGGATTCACACTTGACAGAGTAATTTCATCAGAATAAAATGAGAGTGTAACAAGAGCGCAATTCAATATTTGTTCTGTAACAAAAATACATAAGGTTAAAATAAAATTGAAAGTTTAGGTTAAAAAGGTAGAAATGTTTACTCACCCTCTGCTAGCAAGAAGCAGTTTGTCTTCCATGGTCTCCATTCGTTCATTGACAGACAACATGCTGCAATGTGTACGGTAGTATGGAGTAAATTAAGGCTTAGGTGAATGTGTTAACTGAATTCTAAAAATTAATGATAAGGATATTTGAAAAGTCCATTATTGGACTACCATGTGAACAGCACTCACTGGTAACACAGCTCAAAACGAAAAAATCAAGGTCGTTCAGTTGTTCATCATCTAATTTCGAACCACTACTTGGAATTGAATTGGAAGACGAGAAAATCTAAGAAAAAATAAACTGCTTAGCACGGCCTCACAGTTTTGTCATAAATTCGATTATTGGTCCTAGTCTTATAGAGACCGCAAACAATTCGTTTTTAAGTTTGCTACGAAAACTCCTCCAAAATAGCCATTGATGTGCGTTCGAAGGATGGCGCTTCATTTCAATTTTTTAAGCTGCACAAAGGTGTGTGAGTAAAGCCATCAGTGTACCTAGAGTGATATGAAGGTCAGTGAATAAAGGATTCGAATTCAGGAGGTTAGCTCACTGGGAGTTGTTTCTCCTACGAGAGAAGGTTATGTCCGACCGTAGTAGACGTGTGGATGACCAGTTGAGTGGCTGACGAATCGGAATAAGACGGTTGTTGAACGGCCAGGTAATAATTGCCACTCGCTGCATTCAGAAAAGGACTCAGCCATTATGTTCTAATGCAGGATAATTGCTATGACGCCCTTACTGTTTTGACTGGCACATCGCCAGATTCGTCAGTTTCTACTTTGAATCAAACGTCATCAAATGCTGGCTACGTAGAGGAGATCTACTGCTGGAAAACTGTGACCAAATATTCCTTTCATTACGCCTTCATATTTTGGCATTAGTAGAAGCGTCTAAGGAAATTACTTCAGGTCGTATTATACTTTACTTTTATTGTATTGTAAACTCTATAATACCAGCCTCGTGTCTGCTTATTGAAGAAAACACCGAGGGACCATATTATATTTCCATTTCATATGAAATTTACTCTATTTCTTGAACTGCTTCCTTCCAAATCCTTTAAAGCTGAGATGAATTCTTCTGTGAGTACCATTGTAAACCGATTTTCATTTAACCTCGGTATGAATGACCAGTGTACCTTATTTCACTGATAAGCTCTCACGAGGTAGTTACCTGATAATTATCCGGTTAACCTTTCGACGTCTCCATCTTCTTAAGAGCCGAATAAATCTTGGTAACAACCTCGTGTTAGCTTATCAATGAAACAAAATACATTGAACCTCCATTAATATTATTCTTCAATATTTCCTCTTTCAACCAAAGGAAACTATTCCTCATCAAAAGAAAGTGCGAAGAAAATACCCCACTGCAAAGCAAAAATGAAAATTACAGGATTATCTAATGGTGGATTTCGTTACCTCACGTTCAGCTTTCACTAGGCTTTCATCTGGATTTTCTCCTTTCTCAGCGTGCTGATCTATACTTCCGCTTAATGTGAGTAAGCTTGGATACTGGGGTTATAGCAGATAGCGTCCGAGGAGTGTTAGATTAAAGCTCCTTATGGATGTGTTGGGCTCATAGATCTATGCCAAATTTGCCTTGCTTTGTAAAGTTATTAGAATATCATTGCCTTAACTACACTCAGCTCTTAAAAACGTTGAAAACCTATCAACGAGTATTTCTTCGCCGTTCGTGAAAACGATGTTTTGAAACTTACAATACCGCACAAATCATGTGAATATTCGAGGCGTTGATCGCTAATGGGTGGCTATGGGATCGAAAAATGCGATTTCATGTTCTTTTTCACACTGATATTTTGAAGACGAAAATTTTTCGCCCAATTAAATCATATGTAAAAAAAACACGGAAGATTCAAGAAAAGCTGTAATATCTAACGAGATTTTCCTGATATAAAATGAAATGATGTGGAGACACGGGTGCCGCGTACCTTATGCGAAGACGAACCGTCCTGTAGGCAGCAGGATTTTTCCAGCACTTCTCCGTTTTGTCGGCGAGTTCCACTAGAGCTGGTTTCCAAAGAGTTCGTTTGTCGGCTGAGACGAGTTCTCCGAAGTGGTCCTTTTTCGCAGCGGCTCCAGCGGCCTGGGTCTTCATCCATGTCGAAAACATGCAGGCCACACCCTAATGCAGTCATGACGTCAATATTTCCGTTTATCGGCTTAGCGCTGGAGTCACGGATATTTTTTGCGGCGGAAGAAATGAAGGAATATTACAAGTGGATGTCAATACTCGCAAAAAACCCATTGGAAATCACTGCTCATTCCAAGGTGTCTTTCTAAGGTCGAAAACCCTTCGGAATATAACAAATTCGTTATGATTGCGCCAGTTTTAGTGGCTGATTTTAAAGCATTTGATGGCTTCTACAAACGCAAGGATGCTAAGACATGAGCAAAACTCGGAACCTCAGGTGGGCTTCGAATCCTCGGCTAACCTAACCAACGTCTGGCTTGTTAGCCGCCATATTAACTCTGCGGCCTTGCTTTGCTTTTTCTCAGTCAGTCTTTCAGTCTGCTGTTGGTACCGATTAGGCAGAAAATGACAGCAAAGCACTTCGATGTTTTCTGGTCATTAAAGAACGTCTTTCACGGTAAGAAAACTTCGATGACAAGTTGTGTGGTGTTTATTATCGAAGTTGATTAAGACCAATTTTGTTGTTATTTATATTAGGATCCATTTTCTGGCTAAGAGCATTTGTAGACGAACCTATTCCAAAAAAAATTGGCAACCATTCAAATCCGAATTTCATTGTGGCTCAGCATAGGTAAGAAATATCTTGATTTATTTACGAGCTCAGTAGAGATTATAATACATCATTACCATGGCTAACGGTACGGGCGCTTGTAGCGCAGTGGTCGGTGGCGTCCTGCAATACACATGGAATCGATTCCCACGCTCCCCTGGCCCTCCAAATGTTCCATCCCTCCGGGGTCGGCAAATTGATACCGCATCCGCCTAGGAGAATAGCAGCAATGGCTCGATACATTGGTAGGCCAACGCGAGTCTTTGCAAAGGCAAGATATGCATTCAATCACCTCGAAACGATGCTTAATGAAGTGAAATGCATGCCGCATCCCTCAAGGATTGACCAACGCCGGAAGCTTTATCCTTTTTTTCATGGTTAACATTTTGGGGTTCTCGTCTTCATCAGAGCTAGGACGATCCGAACTACGCGTCTACATCAGTCATTTTTTTATGCGATGTTGGTGGTTTTGAGATAAATCTAGTTGAGCGGAGCATAACACGGATGAAGTAGCGCCTCCAGCTCTGCCTTTTTATACAACCCCTAACCACGCTGATGTCACCCGAGCTTCTCCGGCAGTTTCCCAGGTCACATGATGTTTCTTGGTCGACCGGAAACTTGACAATCTTTTTTAACCCTTTATTTGTGCAATATCCCAATCTTTTTAACTTTATTTTATCCGGAACTTAAAATTGTTTTCTTCTAACAACCGGTTATTTATTCCCAAAAGGCGCGTGTGGCGTAGTGGTCGGAGGCGCCCTGCAGCACAGAAGTGGAATCGATTCCCGTGCCCATGGCAAACCAAGCCTTCCATCCCTCCAGATTTTCCAAATTGGTGCTAGACTTGTTTGAGAGGATAGCAGCACTAGTTCGATACATCAGTAGGCCACCACGAGTCGTTGTAAAGCCCAGATATGCATTCAATCACCTCCAACGTTGCTGAATAAAGTCGAATGCATGACGCATCTCTGAGGGATTGATCAACGCCGAGAGGGTTTTTTTTTATAAATTATTCCCACATATCAGATATATATGCCATATAATTTAGGAAGAGGTTATCGGGCAACTTCAGTTTAATATAGAAGGGCAACGTCGTGCTTGGAAAGGAAACATTCTGAATGAAAATTGTTCAGTACTAATGGTAATAAGCGACTTGCAGAGCAGTGGCGCACGTTTTTGCAGACTGCTCTGTTATGGCTCTCTCTAATCCATAGTCGAGATGTCTGCCTCTGGAAAAGATCTGGAAACACCCAAGAACACCTATCCTACAGTTTGAAGGAAAACCGGAATTGGACTTAATTGGAATTAATTGGAATTCAACGACATTTGTGGAGAAGAGTCGCATATTCTTAAAAAAGAGCCGTCCGAATCCAGAAATCCAAAGGTTTTCCTGGATGACGAATGCAAGGTAACGAATCAGATGCGAGAAGTACTGGAACTCGCTTAACGTGTGATGACGAACGGTGTGAAATGAAAAGTTGAAAATAGTATAGACGTGCTAGCTCCAAATAGCAAACATCCATTACCTATTTGTATAGAATTTCAAGGAGGCTGGAAGGGAGGTTCTCAATTAAAACTTGCAAAACTGAGAAAAAAAAAGAAGAAAATCTAAAACGATAATTTTGAAACCGACCGTCATCTAACCTCAGCAGTAAAATACAACGGTTTACCTCCTTATCGTCGCCCAGAGGTGTGCCCGGGTGTCGGGTGGCGAGGGACAGCGATGGGAATCATCCGCCTGGCGGGGTCTCTCAGGCTGAGAAGGGGTCCAGCGTTTCCTTTAGGAAAAAAAACCAGCCATCCAAGTATCCAAGTAAGTAAAACAATCGACTTGTTTAAATTTCTTTGCTTACAGTCTTTGGCCGAGTCTAAAATGATATGTAATTTTTGATTCGTTGTTTTGGGGAGAAAAAAAATGTAGAAACTGTGGAGGAATACGCGGTTATTAAATTTGGACCAAGCAATGTTGTGGAAATATGAAGTTCTACTACGTTCCTTGCAACCTATAGAGTTTGAAAATAAGAAGGACTCAGAAATTGCTCAATGTTAACAAGTTATCAAACTCGTGCCAAAACTGGAGAAGGACGTGACCTGAAAGTACCATGCAGTTTATAAACATGGTGTCGTAAGAGGTTTTTGTCATTTACTACAAAAGCGAAACCATAACTACCAGAAACCGATTCAGAGAAATGAGTGAAAACATCTGTACAGATTTGTTAAACATAACTGTATCATGAAAAATCACTTTGCACAAAGATCGTTAGAAGGGCTATCATCGTTGTTGGATAGATCGATTTGTGAGGATGTGAGGCAACAGGGTAATTTCGTAAATGGACTTCATCCGATGTTAAGACGGTTTCGGTGGAGATAATCAGACGGTCAAAGTAATATGGAAGGAATGATCATCATATGAAGATAAGAAAAAAACGCAAAAACAACGAGATTAGAGCTCTCAACAGTAACGATGAGATCATTCTTGAAACCAAAGGACAGAAAATACGTCGTAGGTCAATAACAATGTGGTCAAATATGAATCGAAGGTTCCTAACAATACAATTCTCACAGAAAAACTGCAACTCTTAAAGCTACCGGTTTAAGAAGCAGGCGAGACTTAGGGATAACAACAGACGGTCAAATTTTTCACATGCAGTAGATTGGTGGTAGGAGCATGTAAAGACGTAATGACAGGCGTATTTGGTTTTCACTGTTCAATGAGGAAAAATGGTCAACTGCTGAATTCGTTCTTACGTGCTTTCAGAAATCCATGACAAACAAGGTTTCTGCACGAGAAAAAAATATGAGTCATATAGAGCCAATTGAAAGGAAATCTAGACAGTTCATAGTCTGCAATGGATTCTAATGGGCTACTAACACATTGGGAAATCTCCACCTGCTTTCACTAGAAATTAGTAAAGCAGAGGTCTAAAAAGACACATGTTGACAAAATCATAGCCTAATCAGTGAATATTAGTGCAAAAAAACAATTTGAAAACAGCACAATCTAACGGCTGTCATGCTGACTAACCGTCAGATCGGATTATTAAGTGACGTTTTTCAAAGCTTTTTTCCATAAGCATGAGTGCTCGATTTTAACCCATTTAGGTTGCTCATGATTACTGTGACATTGTTAATGACACTGTCCCCATAGGTAGCCATCCAAACACTCACTGATCGGATTCGTGCACGTAACTGCGCCGCGAGTTTTGCAGAAACGGCAGGAGCGAGGTGCTCCACCACCGTATTGAACTGAAGCGGACGATTTTTTTGAAATTGATCATCATAAAACCTTGGTATGAATAATTGATGTCTTTATTAGATTGTTCAGCTTAAACGAAGTTGTTATAAAGCTTTTTCGACTAACGTTTTTACGTCTTTTTCCTCTTGGGGCCGCCATGATACAAGTACACTGCTTAATGTCGCCCGTCCTCATCATCTGCGCCTACGTGGTGGCATTGTTTCGGACCTTCAAAAGTGAAACACAACATAAATGAAGAAGCTCAGTCGCCAGTGCTCCACGTATGGTTATTGCTGCCTGTTTACTGATACTTACTTTGAAATTTAGATGGCCTCTTTTCGCTGGTTGTGCGGGCCCCAACATCATTTCCACTTTTTCAGAGTTTTGCTGGTTCAGCCATTGTGGTTCCCTGGGGTCTCTAGGTTATCCTGGCCAAAGTCTACCTCTGGTAGTCACCACCACAAGCAGTCATCACCTTTGTGGATCAGAGGAAGATTTGTCACCAGCTTGGTAACGGAACGGTGACGGATCCTGGTGTTGGTTTACTCTAAGCTGGACTTCCTTATGAATACGCCGAATTCCTTGTCAGTCTGAGAGACCCCCCTGCCAGAGGAAGAATCTCTCTGCTGTAGCTCGCAGCCCAGCACCCGGAAACACCTCCCAACTACGATGAGGGCGTAAACCGTTGGGAGGGTCCACTGATGACGCTCTTTTTATCGTGAAGGTCAATATCCCGCAATATCAGTAGTACACCAACTAGCACTCCATTAGATTCGGCTTGATATTAACATGGTACATCTCAAGAAAGAACGTCTCTAAACGATTGATTCCGATCACCGCGATTCTTAAGATGTGGACATTGAGGAAGCGCTAGTTGTGTAATATAGCAACTTTGGTAAGTTGAACAATCTAAAAAAATGCCGATTAAAACAGATGTTTTGTAGAGAATTGTTAAGCAAAGGTATGCTATTGCAAAACGATAGAGTAAACGCATTTACAAATGTCTCATAACAAATGAATTCATGTGAACATGATCCCCGAGATAGCTTCTGCAAATGTCGGAGTAGTAATGTATTGAAATGGCTCTGATATGTCGCAAACGTGATAAAAGCGAATCATTCCTATCTGCATAATGCTATTGTCTTGGATTCACAAAATTCTGTAGATAAAGTGCTTAAGGGAAACAAAATATCAGAGCACTCATTGGTGAATTACCAGAAAGTCATTACACAGGCTTATTATGAGACCTTAGTACGACCTTATCGCCTGCAAAATGCTTCGAAATGCAGAAAAGACGCTTGAATGGATGCAGTAATGTTCCCGAGAATGTTCAACTTCGAAAAGGTAGAAAGGTTAAGCATTCATTATAGTTTGTCCTCCGACGAGTGAAATCTATAGACAGCTCTTTCCACTTCTGTTCAGCAAACACGAGGTACTATTCCACTTCACTACTCACGCACAAGCTGACGTTTCGGCGGATTTCGCCTTCCTCAGAGCCTTGAAAGGTCAAGTTGACAGCAACTTATTCGGCCAAACACCTCTATAACCAAACAGAGAAAACGCAAAACGAAGATTTCAATCGCACCTAACACAGCTGTGCACACTCACCGCTTTCTATGAGTCTTCCACTGAGTATGTCGTGTGAAGAGCAACCACACAGAACTCACATGGAAGCGTAATGTGCCCCTCCCATCAGAATAACAGGTTTAGATACTGTCCAATATCACGCGTGATAATGAAGCATTCTTCCCTGCGGTTCATTTTCGGATTTCTGGAATTAATCCAGAACGCCTCGAGAGTTTTGTGCGCTTGTGTTGTTGATTTGTGTGCGAGGATCGTGACACATACTTCAAAGTTCTCCCCGTTATTTCTCTGGGTCCTATGTGTGCCTAGCGCAGTATCTGGTTTATGTTTTCCGGCTAGGTGAAAGAATTGTTTAATCAGTGCCGAGGTTAATAGAAAGTCGGACGTGGGAGTTTCTATAGACAGCCGGAAAACATAAACCAAATACTGCGCTAGGTACGCATAGGACCCAGAGACATAACGGAGAGGACTTTGAAGTATGTGTCACGATCCTCGCGCAGGAATCGAGAACACAAGCGCGCAAAACCCTCGAGGCGTTCTGGATTAATTCCAGAAATCCGAAAATGAACCGCAGGGAAGAATGCCTCATTATCACGCGTGATATTGGACAGTATTTAAACCTGTTATTCTGATGGGAAGGGCACATTACCCTTCCATGTGAGTTTTGTGCGGCTGCTCTTCACACGACATACTCAGTGGAACACTCATAGAAAGCGGTGAGTGTGCACAGCTGTGTTAGGTGCGATTGAAATCTTCGTTTTGCGTTTTCTGTTTGGTTATAGAGGTGTTTGGCCGAACAAGTTGCTGTCAACTTGACCTTTCCAGGCTCTGAGGAAGGCGAAATCCGCCGAAACGTCAGCTTTTACGTGAGTGGTGAGGTGGAATAGCACCTCGTGTTTGCTGAACAGAAGTGGAAAGAATTGTTTAATCAATGCCGAGGTTAATAGAAAGTCGGACGTGGGAGTTTCTATAGAGATCCGCAAAAACATAAACTAGACTAACCATGGGTATGTCTTCCACTCTCACAATTCCTCGTGCGAATGTTTGAAGTAAGAGCTCGACGGAAAACCCATTTGTGTGAACGCTGAAAAAGATTTGAGATGAGTGAAAAACTCGAGTTCCGCTTCTCCTAATGGACGCTTTAGAAGCTTTAATGAAATCTGACTAACGTGTGGAAATGAGCTGGATGCTTAACGATCCCCACTTTTTTATTTAAAGAAACTTACGCGACTTTAATTCGATCCACATTTTCGAGCACATAAGAAGTGAAATGATTGATTGGATGATTGTAGCTGAAATAGTGCTCGAATAAATAGACATGTTTGGGTATTAACTGTTATTCCAATACTGGCTCTGGATTTCTCGAGAAAAATTAACACAAAAGCAGTGAGCATCTGAAGTCAATTAAATAGCTAAGGCTTTAATCTCCATAATCCCGGTAAATCTTTCATTCATTCATCTTTACCAGGATTGCCACCTACGAAAATGTTTCAAGATGTATATGACTGTGGCCACAAGGATTTGACCAAAAACGGGATATTAGTCTGTGGAAGACAAATACGCTAATTTATAGCCATGTTTTTTATTAACTACATAGTTTTTTTTCATGACAGGGTATAAAGTGAGATATAACTGCAACAATGCTGAAATATTTGTAAACCTCCGCACTGCAGGTCTCTGCAGAAGGGATCGAACACGCTATTACCCTTTTCGCGGTATAACGCATTCACCACCACACCGTGCGTGTCCTTCCCTTCGCCCTTCTCTTGGTAGAGTAAAGAACAGGCAGTAAATAAAAGAGCGATTACATTGTGATTTATATCATAGCTTCAGCTTAACTGGGTTGAACTTGTGCTCTTCAGATCAGTCCCACTCTCGGCTTTGATGAATCTCTGAGAGGTTCGTAATGCATTCGAATTCATTAAGCATCGTTTGGAGGTGATTGAATACATATCTGGCTTTTACAATGACTCGCGGTGGCCTACCGATGTATCAAGCAAGTGCTGCTATCCTCCAAGACGAATTTGGTACCAGTTTGCCGACCCCGAAGTGATGGTGGGGCATGCGCGCGGGGATCAATTCCCAGTGTGTGTATGTATGTATCGAGCCAGTGCTGCTATCCTCTCAGACAAGTCTGGCACTGATTTGGCGAAACCGGATAGATGGAAGGCTTGGTGTGCCATGGGCACGGGAATCGATTCCACCTGTGTGTTGCAAGGCGCCTACGACCACTGCGCCACATGCACCCTTGCGCCAATGAGATTGCTCATAGCACCTATAAAACACCTTTGAGAGAAAGGCGAAGCAAAGGACCCGCATGGTGAGGTAGTGAGCTCGCAAGCAATGGAAAGGGTAACAGCCTTTTCAATCCCCACCGCAGACACCTGAGTTCCGCAGTTTTACAAATATCTCAGCACCATCGTAGTTATTCCACAAAGCTTTGTTTTCGATTATGGGCCTCTATAGCTAAGAATTCTTCACTTTTAGACACCATGAGTAATTCATAGCACTTTCAACAATGACTTTGCAGTGTTTTTTGACTTTTGAGTTGCCGTTTTGACTAGATTGTCGGGATGTTTGACAAGAAAGTTGATTGTCTGCAGATCCGATGAATACGGCAGAGTGGAACAGCGTTTCGTAGAAAAACTTTGTGTTTATCATGAAACATATAGTCGAGCATTTTGTGTAAAAAGAAGCGACTTCTCATTTTGATCTAATTTGGATATATGTGCTCGATATTAGCTTTCTACTGTGATCGTTTTGCTGGGGTTCTAAACGATTTATTGGACGTACCAATCTTATGGGAGCGATCTTCTCCTGTTAATTCTCTTTTCGAAAATGCTTAAGAGTACGATCTAGCTGTTGTCAGTAGATGCTCGGAACATCGGTATACCATCCGAACCCGGATGCTAAACCACCGAACTTCGATATCCAGAAACAGCGATATAAGCAGAGACCTCTTAGTTCCCCTCTCACTTCCAATGCTCTGCTTCAGTCAATTTGCTATCGGAACTGCTAACTTCTTCTGGTTTTTGATGAGATTCCTGAGGGAGCACGCGTAATGCTCAGACATATCGCAACAGGAGATGATTGTTGGCGTTGAATGGAGCCTATTTTTTCTTTCAAGAAAAAAGGAAAAAGCATACCTAACATAACTAGCACACATGTGTCTTAGATCTCGTGGATGTTTGTTGAAAAATATGTCGTCGAAGATTCTGAACATAAATCATGAACAGATCGGCTTTTAGCAAGTAATTTAAATGAAATCAGCGCTTTATTTCCTTTTTCGATAACTTTTTCTTCTCTTCAGTTTGCCCTAAATCGTGCCATAGAATTCGGATGCACAACGACGACGTGACTTTTACTTCTTTAGTTTATAAAATTTCAATGTATATGGGTTCGAGAATAATCCGCAAGCAAAACTTCACACCCTGAAAATCCGAACCTGTGAATGTGCTCCTTCTTCTTGCTCGCTCCCAGCGCAATCCAAATTCTTTCCTTCTCTATCTGATACACTTCCTCTTTCCATTTAGAGTACATAAATTCGAAGATATCATCGTCTCCATACATAATGGCAGTTGAATAGAGCGGCTGACGAACATAAGGAGGTATTCTTAATCATATAAACATTACGATGGATATCAGTCCATACTTTTACAAAATAAATTCATGGTGGATATTTACTTCAAAATCCTGGTAAAGACAGCAATATATTTATTGTCATGGATCTCAACTGATCTCATTCCTGTCACTGGTCACTTTCCTCAAGGATCAGTGGAACAACACAAGTCGATTCTATAGGGATTCCGTCATTTCAATAATAATCTGGGTTTTTATCTATTTGTTTATTGTAATTGTAACACCCCTACCAGCGGTTCTCCTTCTCATCGTGGATGGGAGATGTTCTTGGGTGTCGAACTGCGACGTACAGCGAAGGATTCATCTTCCAGGCAGGGTTTCCCATGCTGGGAAGGAACCCGGCGTTTCCGTCAGGAAACCCAGCTGAGAGTAAACCATTACTAAGATCCGTCACCGCCCTGGTATTAAACTAGGCGCATGGTGACAAAACTCCATCTGATCCATAAGCTCGGCAAGTGCCTGTGTTGGTAACGACCTGGGGCAGACTTTGGCCAGGCTGACCTCGGGATTCGAGAGAAACACAATTGCTAAACCAGCAAAACTCCGAAAAATAGAGAATATATTGGGCTCCGCACAACCAGTCAGGACAGGTCGTCCAAGTATCCAAGTACAGCATTCAAGTAATTGTAGTAACTAAGGCAAAAATGAGCAACGACTAACTCGAAAAAGTGTTGTCAAGATAAAATGAGAGTGTTTTGTAATTTTTCATTAACCCAAAAACACTATTCTAAAAAAACATCAAGCTGAAAAAAGCCGGTAAACACGGAGTTTTTGCGTTTATGAACAAGGTGTTGGAAAGGACTCTTTTATCTTTAATCTGTATCAACACATTGCAATTCCGTGAACGGATCTAACAGAAACATCGGAAATAAACGTTCTACGAGTAGTTCAAAATTCATCTTACAAAAAGGAACTCGTCAGAAAAAAGACGTACGTGTTGCAGGAGTGGTTGCTCAGTAGTCTTCGTGAACACGACATCCTTAGCGTTTGCAGAACTCGTCGCGCGAATGAGATACACGGTGCGTATCCATTAAGACAGACCCGTGTGTATACTGTAGTTCGCAGATCACTAAAGACTGTCAACTTATTTTTTTTCAATGTCCGAATGTTTTATGACTCATAAAAACATCTGGGTGGAAGTCAAAAGGCTAAAGTTGACCCACTCTTCATGTATTTTCATCCTTTCCAGTAATGGATTTCGTTGAAAGTGTTCGAACAGCGGCTCAAGTATTGTGATAATAAACAGCTGGAATAGGAACGTTTATCTTTGTTTTATTTTTTGCAGCCATTAGAGGAGCGAATAGCTTAAATGACTCTTTAAGTAACTTACTTCAATTATTTATTCACTTACAGAAAGACTGAGGCATATTGAAGAAATAAAACGACTCGATAGTAGAAGAACTAATTCTCCCACAATTTTCTACTGTACAGCTTCATGTATTGAAGTCATTTGGTATTTGCACTGCTGCTTATCTTCTATTCCAAAACATACCTGAAATTCAGAAAACTTTGCGTGGGTTGTGAGTCGTGAGACCAGAAAGTCCAGATGGGCGTTCAGCATTTTCACCGGAGGATATGCAGTCTGAAACCAACATTTAAAGATAGAAAAGTAAGGTGAAAGTAATGCCCCACGAAGTTATACACTCTGGCTATCGAGACAGAATGGTAACAGCAGAAACGGCGATGTAACTACGTCCGTGTGAGTTTCGGAATTCAAAAAATTCTTTTAGTTCAAAAATGAAAAGGATTAAAAAAATATCCAGCTTTTGGAAAAGCATGTTATTACGAGCAGATGGTGGTACTAAAAAGGAAGCAGCTGATTTCAAGCATGCCAGAAATGTATGGAATTTGGGATGCCCCTATTTGTTTTATTCAAAAATGGACAGCGTAACGTTGTTCTGAAAGTTGCGAACTAAGCTATATAGTAGAGGTAACTGATTGGATAGCGTGATTATACCATTGTCTCACCACATACGATGCATGGCCCCGATACCCTTAGAAAAAGCAACTAGAGGTGGCAACAGAGGCCTTCCAAAAAATGGACGATAGTAAGAAGAGGCGCTCTGATTACGATGGGCTCTTTCCACCTTTCCAATGTAAAATCCGTCAATGTAACGTCACCTCTTTCCTGAGATAAACTGAAATGTTGAGTGCATGGGCGTACGAAAGGTCGCCGATCTCGGCCAATGTGAACGAATCATCCATGAGACGCGTGCTGAAGCCGTCAGTTTAAGAAAGAATGCTATCATATTTGTACATTCCATCGTATCATATTTTACTACATATTTGCAAAATTCTAGAATTTGAAACATGGCGGATTGTGCTAAAGTTCCAACCACTCTTCACTTCTTCTTCCAGTTGAAAACACTTCGTCGAGGTCTGATAAATAATGGAAAACATGTGTGACTGATATCATATTTTATTCGACTGAATTTGTGAAAAGACGAATCACGAGTAATATCCAAGCTCCATATAAACACGCATATTTTGCTCGATAGCAAGGATGGACTTCAAGCTGCTTAGAAGCTCTTCTTGAATTCTGGCCTTTACTACGACATGTAAGGTTTTCATCACATAACATCTGCACCTGGTTGCGTTGGAAGTAGTTAGGTACTGCGAAATTACCAAATGGTTGCTGGTTCGGCTCTGCCCCATCCCAACGAAAACACCCACTATTTCGTGAACGGCGAATTGATAGAGGAGTTGTCACAAACGATGGTGACCGCTTGTGGTGAAGAGCCTGTAATCCATAGTAGAGCTATTCCAGAATAACAGGGAGAATAGAACTAACCACCATTCAACGGCATTTAAGAAGGGTACAAAGTTAATAAGTCGTAGTCAATCTCCAGGGAAGCCGAAAAGCTTCGTGGATAACGGATATGAGAAAAGCGGGCCGAAGTGTTGCAATCTGTCCAGTCTTACACGCAAGTAAAAGGAAGAAAACAAGTGGCTGTCCTACCGAGCTCCCACCGGCATACAATTCACATCAGCGTGAAGCCGTGCTGTAATATCCAAGTAAGACTCCGTGTCGTATCGTACTCGCACAAAGCTTCGCCCATCTCTGTCAAGCACCATGTCTGCACGCAGATCTAGTACGACTGGAAGTAATTACTTTTTGTTAGAAACAACGACAGATTTGACTGGGCAAGAATTTCTCTTAATTTAGGCTCCGAGTCGAAACGAGGTTATCTGTAGTCTGTTTCCTATGTACTCTGACCCTTTCTTTTACTAAGTGATTAAACCTGATTTATATAAACAACGAGTTTTGCAACCCAAACTCATTGAAAAGTAAGAAGTCGACGAACCTGTGGAGTTCTCAACCAACCACCTCACCGTTGGTTTCAATGTACTTGAATCTCGAAGAAAAATCGGAATCTTCCACTGTACACCGCTCGCTTTGTGACCGGGAACGTGCTGAAAACTAAAATTTCCTCCAATTTACACTTCATAACAGCAGATGCCTCGACCGGTCTTGGGATAGAAGTGTTCATAGCGTGTTGTCGATTCATCACAGATTGGATGGCATCGACAGATTACACTTTAGATTTCGGTTCAGCGATTATAATCACTATGTTGCTGAGATATTTGCAAAACATGGGCCTCAGGCCTGATACAAATCCGCGATTAATTTTTTTACGGGAGCTCGCGTGTCACCCAGCGCATCACTGAGGCCGCAGCCCCGCCTTTCTCTCAGCCATCTCTTGCAAATATCTCATCGACACAGTGGTTGTACCCAGCTGTGAAAATAGTGGTAGGCAGTAAATAAAAAGTAAAACATTGCGATTTCGAGTACAACCTCAGCTTATCTGGTTCTAATCCAGATTTATGTTTTCCATATCATTCTCATTAGCGAGTGGTTGCTGATGGAACCGTTCGGTGGTAAACTGGCTGAGAAAAACGCAACCCGAGGGATTCAGTGGTGCAGTGGGTAGCACATGTGCCCCGGGGTAGGGCAATCACGGGTTCGAATCTGGTGACGCTGAAGTTTTGAAAATATCTCATCAGCATAGTGGTTTTATTTCATACCATACCCTGACATGAGAATAATGATAGGCAGAAAATAAAAAGTAAAACGTCAGTGATTATATTTGAACCATTTACGACTGAACAGAAATACAATTCCAAAGATGGGAACAAGCGATACATTGTCACCTGATATTCGTAAACTACTGCGTACCACTTGGTTACTAATTTAATTGAGGGATTACTTTTTGTATCCATAGAAGAGACCTAGGGCAAGGGTAGCGCAGTGGTTAAAGATGCCCTGTAACACACAATTGATGGATCGCTGGTTCGATCCCCACCAAGCCCTCCTAAACTGGGTCGGTGAATTGGGGCGAAAATTGCATGGGAAAAAATTTTTGTTTCGTACGACCCATTTTCACATCTATAATGCGGGTCCTAGCCCTCCATACACTGGATTCGTTTTCTCGCATCCATCACAAGCTAAGGTCTTCCAATTTTTACGTGTGACTTCGAGTGCTGTTTGAGGATTTTAATTTCATCTTGAATGCCGTAGAATGCTGGTCTAGTTAATTTGCTCTGGAGTTTTAAGGTAGCCGGGCTGCAGCGCTCCCAGTTGGACTGTAGAGAGTGATTTTTTTCCGGGGCAAGTCCAGTACCAATTTTCCGACCCTGGGGGGATGAGAGGCTAGGTTGGTCTGGAGCCGTGTCGAACTAGCACTGTGTTTGTGATGATCGGCATCACTAGCACTGTGCTACCCGCCAACTTGCATAGGAAGATACAAGCACTAACATAACAATTTTCAAACCGACTGCCATTTAACCTCGGTTGTAATGACCAGTGCCTTCTCGTGTTGTTGAGCTAATATGTGGTGTTGATGTGGCCTTTTCGTCGACGTATCGTGTCGTATCATCTTCATTGGAGCGCGGCTCCAGTGGGACAGCCGCACAGGAAGGAAGAAGAACCAACTCGTTACGACGACGAAGACACCACAAAGAAAGTGCGAGCGACTGTGGACCACCGACTCGGATCATCGGTTCTGTTGAAGACGAAGCCGTCGAAACGTTAGCCTAATAAACATTTTCATCAATCTCGTGTTAGCTTAACAATCTAGAAATGTACTGATCTAGTACATTGGTGGCTCACCACAAGTCACTGTACAGACCAAATGTGCACCAATCACATTTATGACATCTGACAAAGTCGAATAAATCGCAGATCTCTCAGAGGCTGATGATTAGCGAAAGTTTCTTCTTCACATTATAGAAGAGGTTACTTGCTCTATCGCGTATTAGTTTTATAAGCAATTTCCCAGAAATGCTAGATTACTTCCGAGTTTCTTTAAAACTTAAATATTTAAAAAGCTGAAGGCTAGATGCTAATAAGAATTTTTAAGGCATGTGCGGCAAATGAAAATATCGCATTTTTGAACCACCTGACAGAATTCCGCTCTTTAAATCTCTTCGGTGTACTATAATTCGCGAAACACATAGAGAAGAAAACTTGTTTTCTGGATTCCAAACAATGAGAATTCAGCCACAATGGTGCGGAGATAATTGTAAAACTCTGGGCAGCAGGTGTCTGCAGTGGAGATCGAATACGCTATTACTCTTTCCGCTATCTAACGCGTTCATCCCCGCACCATGCGCGTCCTTCGTTTCTCACTTTTCTCAGTTACAGTGCCATTAGCCTCCGGAATGGATAATAGCGTTTTCGATCACCACCGCAGACACCTACAGTCCAGAGTTTTGCAAATATCTCAATATCATTGCGGTTGATTTCTAATAATACCCAGCCATGAAAATTGAAGTAGACACAAAAGAAAAAAGCTAAGGTAATAAGAATTCAAATTTTTTGAATAAAAGAAGTTCCACTTTGTTGCCAAAGACTTAGAGATTCCAGCTTTCTTTCTCAAGGAATAAAACTCACTAGGAGCTGAGATATAAATGTTTAAAGCTGAAAGCTGCAGTTCTAATCGTGCACCTGATGTTTCAAAGTCTCAGATAAGGAGAAAAGTGGTATGAAAATGCTGCAACCATGTGGGAACTTAATACGAAAACTTTCTTACCCGATAAATTTCTTGTGTAACTAGAACATATCCGTCACTGCGCCTTCTGACGTGAAGCAAAGGGAAACCTTGTTGGTAAATCCACGTCTCAATCACCTCGGCTAAGGTGAAGTTCTGACCAACTAGACGTCCACCTATCGTGGAACCAGCATAGACTCTAGAAAAACTTCTTGGAAAGGTTTCGCACACCCATAGCTCATCGCGCAATTTTGACCGCTATTTATCGCCTCACGTAAATTTCATAACCAACACTGAGTGAAAGAAACTGTTGGGAGATGTAAACTAACCTACGACAAATATAAAGAATTTTGCATGTTTTGAACACGGTGTTACTCGGAAAAAATATCGCAATTATTGGGTGCTGCAAAATGGTCCTCCATTCATCGTAATTGAAGATATACATATTTATATGATCTTATAAACTGATCTTGTTGAGCTGATGCGAGGTTGGTATAAGTTTCCGTTGCCGTTGTTGTCTGTTGTTGTCGTCGTTGTCGTTTTTGTCCTAGTCCCACTTGTAAACAGTAAGGCTCTGAGGAAAGCGAAATCGCCGAAACGTCAGCCATCGAGCAACAGCACCAACAGCAACGACAACAACAACAGCAACGACAACGAAGTCGTATACCAACCTCGCATCAACTCAACAAGATCAGTCGATAAGACCATATAAATAAATATATCAACTATTTATGCCGAGGCTCATAGAAAGTGGGTTTTTTCTGTTATTTGAAAATACACATTTTAGCACATAAACGCGTCCATTGGGAAAGATTTGTAATACTTAACCTAGCGTATTTTTTGACAAACTTTCTTGTGAGACGAAAAATGGGACATCAGGAATTAGATTCGCCTAGGAATTTTCTAAACTTTAATCCAATACAGGTAAGCCAATTTGATAGAAATTCACTTCATACCTTGTAAGTACCGTTAGAAGATCATTGTGGTCGACATTCTTATACATGAATTTGTGAAGAAACATCCGAAGGCCGTCACGGAACGTCACCTCGCTTACAATGCGCTCCATCATCAGTATAATCAGTGTGGCCTTCAGAACAAATTCTGTTTACATCTATTTGAGGTTGTCGGCATCTAACGTTTTTTGCCTACTATAATGCGAAAGAAAATTGGACTCAGTTCTGTATTAATGGAAAACTACAGTGATGTAATGGTTTATTGACTCTTTGGTGACCAACACATTCGCAACGACGCAAGCTCTGTAGAAATCACAGGGAAGCGAACATTTTGGCTGAAATATGACCTCCGCAGAGGTCATTTTCTTTCTTGTGGTTTATTTTTGCCCACAAGACCTTCATCCAATACCTCTTGAGATGTTATGGCCGGGCACATGTCGGGAAAATCTGCATTCCACACTTAGGAGTGTATAAAAACCTCTTCTCGAGCGAGTTCATTTGGCGGTAATTTAACTGGAAATTGACTTTAGTTTTTCTGATATTCTAATCGCTGTATTTTGTCCCAGTTACCGTGTTGAAATGGAGGGGAGGTGTAAAAAATTGGAATAATAGGCTCAAGATGGACTGGGATTTTAGTTACTTTGAAAATGGTGACAACAAAGTGTTGGTGTGATGGGCCGCAGCAAGATTTAGTTAAAAGTGGCATACTTTTAATTCAAAACAATACAGAGAGAGAAAGAGAAAGCAAGGTATCTCGAACAATCCCTTCATGTTCTCAACCTCTAATGTCTAATAGTTATTGAAGAACTACCGTCGTCTATTCGTGGAAAATAAGCATGTCCATAACGGCTAAAAATTGGCCGTCATCTATGCGACACCAAAGCAAAACTAGGCGTCGTCGCGACTATATCAATACTAAGAAGCCCTTATTAATAATATTGACTTTATAGAAAACATTTCTACCTTCTTATATGTGTTCGAAGTGAACGCCGTTTCGGGATCAAACGCTTCGTCCCTCCTGGAGATCGGCACGCTGCTCGGCATCTGGTCATTCCTCATCGCACGGGCGATGTCCACGGACAGCTCGTCCTTAAAGTTCTAGTAGCCGGAATTGTTGCATTTTAAATAACACTCGGTAAAAAAATAAAAATTGGTATTATTGTGCTTGTTTGAACGCTTCGAGGACATTTTTCACATCATTTTATGGATTGGCTTTTACAGCAGCAAGAGACTTAGCGTAGGCGGTATAGAAAGTATATGGTTTCTTTACAACACTGACCTTAACATTAACACACCATTTCTGCCGTAAAAGTTTTATGTACACGGAAGAAGTGAGGAATATTTTTTTGGATTATGAAAGTCACCTAGTGAGAAAAATGACGTAATGATGAACTAAAAACCAACCGTTTCTAGCAGAACTGTCCTTAGAAATTCTATTTAAAATGTGAAGCATCATCAATACGGATACTTTCCTTCAGGTAAAATTTTCACACCTGTGAGCAGTGGTGTAGGCTCGAATGAAAAAAGTACTACTCTTAGCGCAGTTTTATTTTATTAGATCATAATTGACGTATCGTTAACTAAAATCATCTTATAGTTTAAAATTCGTATTTTGCCGCCTAGTGTTACTCCTTCAAGTCTCGTTATTCCAAGTTAATACCTCTTAAACTGGAAAAGCGCTTTATTTTAAAATAAAATAGAATTGAAACTTTTACACTAAGTTACAAACCCGACTCATCGTTGTATTAGAAAGGACATCGTTCGCTTTTAGACCGATCATGGACGCAAATCCCTCGTTCAACCATAAGTCGTCCCACCACTTCATCGTCACCAAATTGCCGAACCACTTTAAAATCAGAATTAGAGCACTGGTGAAACAATTTCTTACGACGCATGATATTCCTCATTAAAATTAATTTGAAATTTAGGTTAGAAGTTGACAGCGCAAAAAACCATTTTCCTCAACAGTGCTGCTTGGATTTCACGAGTGTTTGAATAAGGAAGTCACCTGATGTGCAATTTCGTGGGCGAGCACAACTTGGGTTAGTCGGGTTTCCGTCAGCGTTGAAATTGTGCTATTATTGAGCAACAGCTTTTGTCGAACAATTATCAGTCCTAAATTAATTTTTAAGCAAAATGAACATAAAATAAAGGCTTTTGTGAGTTGTCACTTTCGTAGTCAAATTATAATAGTTACCGTGAAAATGACCGCCTGTGGCAAACGTTGAATGCACTGAGAAAAACTTTCTAATTTTTCTCAAAATCTCTTTATAAACAGCTGGATAAACTAATCTGCAGGAAGCACTTACTATTGGAAGCATTAAAGATAGAACAGACCACCTAATTACGGGGATATCCGAATGAGGAGACCTTGTCAGAGCAGACGCCTCGATGGGAACCTACGCACAAGCAAGAATAGATCACATCCGCGTAAATTAAACATGATGCTTCCTTGCTGCCATCATTCTGCACTCTGCTAAACCACTGCCCTATTCTTGCTACAGTTTAGAGATAGAAATGTTAGGAATAAAATATCTCCTCTTAAGAAAGCAATAAGTCATGTATAAAGGATATTGTACGGCATCGTCTCCTCAGAGTAAATCAAGAAAGTCGAGGAAGGCCTCAGTAAAACGAGGTTTCCGTCAGAAGAGTTCACGACTGTACCACTAGGTGCTTCAATCGTACAGCTTCGAATGCTCCATCACCTTCTAAACGTTGCTTGAGAGAAACAGAAAAGTTGAGATCGAATTGAATGGAACAGTTGCTACGGAAACACACTATCTAACAACTAGTGCACTAACGTAGACACTTAGAAGACCTGCTTAACCAAAGAAACCTAATTGTTGTTCTATTAGTTTTCGTTTCTAGCCACCATCATCTTATATATAGAATGCTCTCTATCACACATAGAAACTTTCTGGTCGCTCAATTCAAATTATACTGGTACTTATCTTCCACTAGCTGAAAATGGTTCTTTCTCGCAAACTCCTCCCAGTCCACTATCACAACACATCACGAAAACACAGCGGTTCCAATGCCCGCTGGCTATCACCAAAGGAAATGAGATGCGACGGCCGCGCTTTCTCCATACCTGCTTACGGTCTCAATGCAATGATTCGTATAACTTTCGTATCATCCGTAACATCCGTTCGTATAACTTGCCGCAAAATTGATAAAAATTGAAGAACCCACAAAATACGGAGGATGATCGATATCTCACTAGGTAGAAAATAGAGTAGTATTATAAATAAGTTAGAGCAAGTTCTGTCTTTTCCAAAGGACAAAAAATTGAAGCAATGCAAAACAAATGAACCTGGATGGCTCTTTGAACCATAGAGAGCACATTTCACAAAAACTCACAGCGTCCCTTGAAAGAAAGAATGAAGAATGAACTATAATTTTCTATACGATCAAGCCGACTCGAATTTAATATGAAAAACGTTCTGAAATTTTCACAGCAACTACGTGTCAGTTAAATTATATGGAAAGTTCTTGATTGTACTTTCCGAAGTCAATTTTTAAGATATGTGAAGAACGAGCTGTACAGAAGTTAAAGTGTTGCAGGAGATAAACTCATGCTCCCTAGAAGACCCACTGACCAACGGACGGACCCAGAAACCCACGCTCATATTTTTATCTGAGTGGTGACGCTAACCAGCTATTCAGACGTCGCATGCCTTACCTCACTCAGAGAATTCTACGCAACATTCTCACGACTTTCGAACAAAAATATAAATGGTGCGTCCATATAATGTCAAATTGCATTTCGCAGTTTAGAACGCTAAAAATACTCAATGCTGGAGATCTAGGAATGTACGTCCAATTTGTCGAAGGCGAAGTATTGATGGATACATCATGTGTTAACAGCAATTGAGAACAGATGGACGAGGAGAATGCTGTGACGGACTATTAAATAATCAAGCCGTAGAACGACTTACTGCGAGGTATGTAGATGTGTTTGTTGGCCATTTGAACTGCTGTATTGGTGACAACAAAAATAGTTCTTGGATAACAGAACAATAATCTCAGAAGTAACCAGCATGCTGGAACCAGGCCACCACCATGAACGATGACTACGAGAAAACGACATCAGTTGAAGACGTATTGGGGCCTCCTAATTCTTAAAAACGGGCCATTAAAAAGCTACAGTGAATAGTTATTGAAATTTGTTTTAACCCAAATAGTAGTTCAATGATTCGATATTGAGATGTTTTTCATGCTGATAAAAATGAAATTAATGAAAGACAAGAAGAAAACTGAGAACGATTTAAACTACGGAGGGAGGAGCTCAACTATGAGTATGTAGGAAAAACCTTACCCCAGTTTTCCATTGCGACAACTTTCATCATTGTTACGCCATAGATATCTGAAAGCAATGAGAGAAATAGCACTAATATAATTCAGACTGACTATGATATAATTAAAATATATAATAGTTTTACCCCATATACGCACCCTGTCCCATCTCTGATTTTCTCGATCATCAAGTCGTCTTCATTTTAGAACATTTTCAGGACCATACAGACAGCTTTTGTTCAGTTGAATTACAACGCATTATCACATCCACTTGGCAGGATTCCAAAATTTACGCTTATTGTTGGAAAATGCCATTCAATATTGGTGCTCGCTCACTTTATCCACTGTGTAACACTTTCAGTACTCTCCTTGCAAGGGGCTTCCAACAAGAGAATACCCCATTCAAGGGCTCACGTGCTATCCGCCACATACTCGCTTTGTCTTTCTCTCAGCCCAGTTCTAACTCCATCGGTGCTACCAGCAATAACCCGTCTGAGTGATCTTGAGAGCACAAGTCGATATTGAGCCAAGTTGAATTGAAGCTGCAGTCGAAAGTAAAATAATAGGCACTAAATAAAACTTAGGAAATTGTGACTTTCTACAATAGATACGAAATTTTTAGAGCTTGTTTTATTTTTGCTTGTTCACTATGTGAACTAAACTGACTATTCAAAGTGGGATTCCTTGAGATCACATCATACTTGAGAGCAGCGACTACGAAAGCTCTACCTGTGAGGCGATTCAAGCTTGGAACACAACTAATTTAGGTGATCGATATACATTTCAGACAATTTTGTTAACCACCTTCTTTCAACTCATTTTAAAGCGCTAGAGATGCCGTCCAATCAGTTTCTCACCTTATAAAGGCGATAGTCAGCCATTAAGACAAGATATGCCTGTGCGACTAACTCCATCTTTTTAATAAACTGATTGATCGGGTTCTGATATCGAACAGCCACTTAGTCGTGCTGGAGCAGGTTTCAAAATGGCTAAAGATATCCGTTTACATAACACATAAGATATAAAGACATTTATATTTCATTGGAGTGATTCAGAAGAGAATGATGAGGCAGTCCAAAATTGGTTTATGGTTTGTCTCGCAAATTTAATCAATGCCTCTAGGTCTTTGTTCGCGTTTTTTCAACATCTTATTGGTGTGAAGGAACTGACTTGCTTTCATAAACTACAATCCATGTATTGTTCTTTGTCACGAGTACGAGGCACCGAATATACACTCCTCCGTTTTTAAGCTGATTCTTTACATAGATCCACGGATATATTGTAAAGTATTCTAAAAAAGGAGCAGCACGTAGAGCAGTGGTTAATAACACTCTGCAATACTCAATGGAGCGATCGCTGGGTAAAGCATAAGCTCCAGGGTCATCATGCCTTTAATCCTTCGTGGGCGGCGGTGCCAAACTGATGCCAGACTTGTCTGAAAGGACAAAAGTACTGATTTGATTTACGAAGGCCAGATATGGGCTTATCATCTCTACGTTGCTTGATGAAGTCGGAGTCGGATACATAGCGCACCCTCAGGGGATTATTAATGCCAAATCCCTTCCTTATGAAAAAAGCTCTTTTAATAACACCATGAGTGTATTAAGTTACTGTGAAAGCTCTCTGATGGAAAGATCACTTCTTTCATTCTGTTATTCACCGTCTGTAATTCAGGCCAGTTCATCATCGAATACAGGCGCAAATGCGGTTGCGATCCACCTATGTTCGTTTCATTTCACATGCTAAATATTTACGTGATAATCACAATATCAACTTATTATTTACTGCCAACTCTTTTTAATGGCAGGGTGCAATGCGAAATATAACTTAAGCGATGCTGAGATATTTGTAAAACTCCGGACAGCAGGTGCCTCCGGTGGGGAACGAATGCGCTGTTACCCTTTTCGGGGGCTAAGGCGTTCACTACCACACCATGCGGGTCCTTCGTTTCGCCTGTCTCTCAGCTTGTTCCATCGATCATTGCCATATCTCAGTATCGCTGAAATTATGTGATAGTTTGCGCTTTTATCGTATTACCGAGAGATGAAGGGAAGCTAACTAGCTCGGATTTTTTGTTTTTGCGAAGTCTGATTTAGAACTGGAGCCAATGAAGTTCTTGGAAATCAGTTTTGTACTTTTCAATGACCTCAAATATATAGTCTCTGCCCTTGTGAACATAAAAGTTCTTAAAATATTATTTAGTATTCGTACACCTAAAACATGAAGAGAGAAATTCGACGCTATTTTTAAATCATATTAGTAAACCTGGGTTATATCTATATAGGTGAACGAACGGAACAACTCCTATCCTTACCTGCTTATCCTGACTAATTCCAAAAACAAACGTTCAGAGGAATAGTAATTAATGTTCTTATTGAAGGATGAGTTGCTGTCAGATACAATGGCTATCATGTTTGATCACATAAAACTGGACGTCGATGATTACCGCGTTGTCGCCTTTCATGGGAGCTTCCATCACATCTCATGAAGCAATCGATCATTGGCTGCCACCAGTTCGCGGACAATAACAAGCCTAGTATGACAATCATGTTATTGGCTTGGTCACTATGACAATGCTATCGCTGCTTCTCGTCGTATTTTCTACGCTACAGTACTCATTTGCTGTCCTTTTACATCAGTACAGTTTGGCAGATCTATGGCAACGACGAGTTCTTAACGCAGTGCATCTCTTCCCGACGCACACCTCTACCGTATACCCAACGTTTGCTGGTGTTTCTAGCGGTACAGGCTCCACTCGTGTGCACATGACGGTTGATGACGTTAAGGAGTTCATCGACCGCATAAAGGACACTGAGATCACGTCAATTTGTTGTTATGGCTATTTAGGGCAATTTTTTTATGTGGTGAATACGGGTGCGGCAAGTGAAGACGAAGTGAAGGTATTCCTGAATTTGACGATGAACGACTTGGAAACTGTCGCAGAGGAGATGCTGATGAGGCAAATGAAACCAGGACATATCTGCCGCGGTGGTGATGGACTTTTTCAGTGAGCATTAGGAATTGTAAATTTTCACGAGCGATGCCCGACTATGAAAATAATTGGTGGTTTGATTCGCATTTTCGAAATTTTCAGATTTCCTTTAGAAGTCCATATCCGAATGCTTGTCAACAATATGTTGTTTTTATTTTAATAATTTTCAATGATGGTGAGATATTTGCAAAACACCGGACCGCATGTGTGGTGCGGTGGGGAACGAACGCGCTATTGTCATTGAATATTGTGGCATTGAACCCAATTAAGCTGAAGCTCTAGTTATAAACACAATTTTAACTTATTATTTACTGCCTACTCTTTTTAATGGCAGGGTATATATTGCGAAATATAACTTCAAAGATGCTGAGATATTTGCAGAACTCCGGACCGCATGTGTATGCGGTGGGGAAAGAACGCGCTATTGTCCTTTCCGGAGAGTAACGCGTTCACCACCACACCATGTGGGTCCTTCCTTTCGCCTGTCTCTTAGCTAGTGACTCAAGATTCAATGATTATAGCCTTTTATCTTTTGAACAGTTCGTCAATGAATGTTCGTTGTAGAATTGCGGTGTTGAGCAAGGGTTAACGCTAACTCAAGATTAAGAAACAGAGGGTGTACGGCGAATAATATTCAGATGTAGGAAGAGAGTGCTTAGATGCTGATGATGATGACGATGCTTAGAAAATTTAGAGCAGTCTGGCGCGGATCGAAGCTTGGGCTGCGGCATTTTGTTGTGCAAGAGGGTGCTATTCATACAGTATTTCGGCAAGACGAAATCCAAGGTCGACATGGTTATTACCCCACAACACTGCAGGTACGCAAAAGATTAGTCAAGGAAGGAGTGAGATGACAATTGAAGTGAATCATTGCAGGTGTATCGTGAAAAAAATCAGACCACAGCTCTGATGGTGTGGGAAAAGGGTTATGGCGTAAAGTATGGATAAAAGACTTAGGGTTACACTGCCCGAAACGACATATTTTTCTATTTTGAGATACCGAATACAAACGGGATTTAATCTAATGGAAATGGAGGCGGAAATGTTGAATGAGCAAACGAAACCCTTTCAAATAGCGTCCTTATCAGGGTTTGTTAGTCCTATCTTTGCTGTGATTAAAGAGCTGATTTTTCTTGGAAGTTATTTCTTTGATTATTAAGGCGAATAAATCCTAAGTACTACGTCATCTGGCATTCAGATGAGTTCTCATGGGTGCGGCGTAGCATACCTCGCACAGCTCTGTATGAGTCCACGTCCGTAAATTCAACCATACTTGATTTGGCAGTTGAAAAACAGGTTTTTAAAACGTTTGCTTTGAAGAAATTTTGGAAAGGTTTACGGTATAGGGAATTCATATTATTTACATTTTACATATTCTTTTTATCACGTAAAATCGAAGTTTTCAAAGCCCGTTATGCTTAAATGAATACGATCTATGTGTCCATAACATCACTAATTACAGATGCGTTCATTTGAAATACCATCATTTTCTTTTTGCATCTACAAAGGAGGAAAAGGTCTGTTAGCCGTTTCTTACGGCTATTCAGATATACGCGCAGAAACCGAGGTGAGGCCTACATGTTGGCGTCTCAAGCAGAGGAAATAGGTAAAAAATAGATAAAACCGGCCGATTTTCGAAAGGAAAAGCGTTGGAACGTAGAAATGATAGATTCTGTGCGGCAAATGTTTCACTTGGCTGTAGCGTACAGCCAGATTCAGATTCCAGAATGTGAACTTTTACTTTTCGCTGAGACAATTGTGTGTTACAATTCTAAGTTATTATTTACTGCCTAATCTCTTTAATGGCAGGGTGTATTGAGAAATATAACTTCAGCGATGCTGAGATATTTGCAAAACACTGCGCCGCAGGTGTCTGCAGTGGGGAACGAACGCGCTATTATCCTTTCCGGGGAGTAACGCGTTCACTACCACACCAAAGGGGTCCTTTGTTTTGCCTATCTCTCGGCTAGTTCTACCGATCATTGCCATCAGCAATCAACCGTCAGTGGGATTGATGTGAGGAACACAAGTCGCAATGAACCCAGTTAAGAGAGGCTGTAGTTATAATCATAATATTTATTATGATTATAATATATTTCGCAAAATACTTTGCCACTAGAAAGATTAAGCAGCAAATAATAAGTTGGAATTGTGATTATGGCTAAACCCACAGCTTAACTGAATTCATTGCCGATTTGGGGTCTCCAGATCAATATCGCTGGCGAGTGATTGCTGATGAAAGTGATCGATAGAACTAGCTGAGAGACAGGCAAAACGAGGAACCCGCATGGTGTGGTGGTGAACGCTTTAGTCACGGAAAGGGTAGTAGCGCGTTGGTTCCCCACCACAGACACCTGAAGTCTGAAGTTTTGCAAATAGCTTAGCATCGTTGAAATTGTGTATTAATTGTTAACTATGTGGGTTCTTCATGAAGTAACGAAGCTAATTATAGACTGTTAATTTATGGTGGAAAATAAAGCACAGCTTTAAAGGTAGTTATATTAACGATTACTCACTGCTTTACATTTGTACGTAAGTAGCGTTTCTCATAAGGTTAAGGAATGAAGTGGTCGGCATGGACCAACCTCACAGCGGTGCGACATGCGTTCGACTCCATTTGTACCATGGCATTGGTGAATGAATTCATATTTGGCCTGTGCGAGTTTCGCCATCCCTCCGATACACTAAGTCAGGGTTTTTGTTTTCCCAGAAAAGGCTTATAGCAGCTTGTCGAGCCTGAAAGGATAGCAGGCTCGACTTGCCTGAGAAGTGGAGGGGGCAAAAGGCTAAATGTGCCCCACAGGGCATTTCTCGGCACCACGTTGGATGCCCCCTATTGCTTATGACAGCAGCAGGAATAACTCTTTTCGAGTTTGTGCTCAATGCTCAACGAGGAAGAATGCTAAAAAGAGTTTTGTGAAGTCAGTTAAGCTAGCAAAAAAGAAGTCAAATAGTACTTTACTATTCCAAGAGTGATTAAACGTTGAGCATTCGGAATTGAAAAATTGTTCCTACAGGCTTCACCGTCAGACAATTATCGTATTGCTTCGATCAGTAAAACTATTACCGCAATGGGTATTGCAGAGTTGATAAACAGACGGCTGCTGAGTCTCGATATGAGAGTGTTCGGAAACAAAGGTACGAGTTTTCAAGGAATAATGAAGATGAAACAATTTGTCACACTTAGATTGAGGTTTCCGTTCCAATTGTAGAATCAGGTTTAGTAGTAAGTTCAGGAATCCTATCTTCAATTGATGTGAGCCGCTCACATCCTTGGCTTCGTGCAATCACTATTCGCAATTTGTTAGAGCATTCTTCAGGTGGTTGGCAAAATACAGAAAAAATAGAGTTCAACCGAGCACCACAGAGGTGACACATATTACTTCATTTGGCTTTTATTATTCATCTCATAAGACTTTGCTAAAATAAAAGTCATTATGCCTTTAACTCTTTTATTTACCGCATTTTTCATTTAATGGTAGGGTATGCTGCGAAATATAACTCGTATGTAAATAAATAAAACGGTTAAGATTGTGATTGTAACTAAGCCTCAGCTTAACTGGGTTCAATGCCGATTTGGGCTCCCCAGATCAATCCCGTTGACGGGTGATTGCTGTGGCAAAGATCGATAGAAATAGCTGAGAGACAGGCGAAACAAAGGAGCCGCATGGTGTGGTGGTGAAGTGCGCTACTCCCCGGAAAGGACAATAGCGCGTTCGTTCCCCACCGCATACACCNTATGCTGCGAAATATAACTCGTATGTAAATAAATAAAACGGTTAAGATTGTGATTGTAACTAAGCCTCAGCTTAACTGGGTTCAATGCCGATTTGGGCTCCCCAGATCAATCCCGTTGACGGGTGATTGCGCTGATGGCAAAAAGATCAATAGAACTAGCTGAGAGACAGGCAAAACGAAGGACCCGGATGGTGTGGTGGTGAAGTACGCTGCTCCCCGGTAAGGACAACAGCGCGTGTTCGCTTCTGACCACATACACCTGCGGTCCGGAGTTTTGCAAATATCTCAGCATTATATACGACATTTTGTTTTATTCCATTATTATTAGCAATGTTATTATTGCATCCGGAACCCGTCCTCAATGGTTGTGCGGACCCCAGCACAATCTCCATTTCTCGGACATTTGCTGGTTAAGCCATTATGATTCCCTCGAGTCCCGAGGTCAGCCTGGCCAAAGTCTACCCCAGGTCTTCACCACCACAGGCAGTCGCAGCCCTTGTGCATCAGAGGGAGATTTGCCACCATGCGACTTTGATACCAGGACGGTGGTGGACCCTGGTATTGGTTTACTCTTAGCTAGGTTTCCTGATGGAAACACCAAACTCCTAAGTTGGGAGACCTGGCAAAGGATGATTCCCTCGCTGTACATCACAGTCCGACACCTAGAAACACCTCCCAGCCACGATGAGACGGTAAACCGTTGGGAGGTTCAACGACATCTTTTGCAAACTAAACCTTCTATCTTTGAGTTATTGAGAAAATGACTACTGCCATACCTGTGAAGCTCTCTGGCTTGACCAAGACCTCAGAACAACTCAACACCACCGTTATGCGATTCAGTGGAGACAAATAAATTTTAGACAAATGCCACGAACCCTGGGATAAAGAGCAGGAAAGGATGTTCAGAGATGACACGTGATTTAGCCCCTTATTTTAGAATCAGTTTTTGATGTGGGGTGGTGCACTGTTCACTAAGCTGTTGTTCTTCCTTGGAGGGCCCGCAGAAAACGGTGAATTTTTCGAGAAGCTGTCGATCCTATGATTAGGATTCAGATTTTCATCACATCCGCACAATATCTGGTGCTGGCCTACGTTTAAAAAAAGAAGAAATATTACGTGTGATACGACCACAGTGATGCTGAAATATTTGCCAAACTCCGAACTGCAGGCGTCTGCGGTGGGGAACGAACGTACTATTGCCCTTTCCGGAGGCTGGTGGCGCTGATCAATAAAACTTACTGAGAGACAAGCGATAAAAAGAATCCGCTTGGGTACGTTCGTTCCCTACCGTAGACGCTTGCGGTCCAGAGTTTTGCAAATGCCTCAGCATCATTGTGGTTGTATCACACGTAATATCTTTCCATGAAAAATTGTAATAGACAGTAAATAAAAGGCTAGCAGAAAAAATATTTTTTGTACTTTTCAAACGATGGAAACATGCTACTCTTAATATCATACAAGAAAGGTTTGCTGATCACCTGCATCACTTTTATCACCTGTACTCCTGTTGATCGTCGAGTGTATCGAACGGGCGCCAGTAAATCTTCCATTTTTCCCTGTCGCGTGCAAGAGCAGCTTAGTGGGTTCTGCTCGCTCTAGAGACTCGTCGAGCATCATATCTTTTTTCAAGGCTCCTTTGAAGAACTCTGACCATCGGGTTGATAGTCTTCCTGCAGTACGTTTGACATCGCGAAGAATCCAGTCACTAACGGCTTCTGTCCATCGGTTGTCATTCATACGCATTACGTTTCTGGCCCACCTTATCTTCGATTGTGTGTCGTACAAAACGGCACCTTTGATTTTTGATCGTTGTCGCAGGTCGGAGCTTCGGATCCCATCCCTTACTTGTGTGAAACGGCATTCTCCTAGCATCGTCCTTTCGAGTGCGCGTTCGATAACGCTGAGTGACCTTTCATCCTGCTTACGCAGCTACCAGGTTTCTGACGCATACGTTAGGGTAGGAAGTACCGTTGAGTCGAAAAGGTGGGCATGGAGTCAGGTGTTCCTTGGAAGGAATGGGGTGCTTTTGGGAAGGTTCGCTGATAATGCTATTAATTAGAACGGACCCTGTCGGCTCCACAAATACTGAAGCGCAACTGCAGTACAATAAAAATCACTCGAAAATATTACGAAAAAATTTCAGTAAAAATCTAAATGAATCCGCTCTACTTCAACATTACATCGAATCCTATAAACCGAAATTTCAACCAGGAACACGATACTTGTATTCCAATATCGGCTACATCATACTTGGCAAAATTATCGCTCAAGTAAGGAATATTTATACAAAATTTACCAAGTCTTGACAAACTTGCGTATGTTTGTGTGTTCGTGTATGTATACGTGCATGCGTGCTGCGTGTGTGTGTATGTATGTATGTATGTATGTATGTATGTATATACGTATGTATGTATGTATGTATGTATGTATGTATGTATGTATGTATGTATGTATGTATGTATGTATGTATGTATGTATGTATGTACGTATGTATTTATATAGGTATGTATCTGTGTAAATGTGAATGCATATGCATGCATATTTGTGTGTATGCATGTATATATGTGCGCATGAATGTATGAATGTGTGTACGTATGTTTGTATCTATGTAAATATGCACTGTATGTGCATAATTAAAATTAGTGCTTGAGAAGAGGGTGCTTGAATTCTAAGTCTAAGAGGTGTTATCTTCAGATTAGCTTAAGACCATACGAAGAATTTATCCAAGACGTAGTTCTGAAGCCAAATCATATCGAGGCACACATTGGGGAAGAAGAACCGAGTGAATTCGAAGTCAGTTGCGGATTATCAATGATTTTATCCTTGATATTTTATTTTGAGGACAACATCAATATGAGGTATTACGGAGAACAAAAATTGTGAAACTACTTCCATACCGACTTAGGCGAGCCATTTTCGCGAGTCTTGCTTGTTTCCCACTTGTATCTATCTTTAGCTGTTATTCTCAAAAGCGTCGCTTGTTTCGCGTACGGTCACACCTGCGAATATGATTTGATAGCCCGCATGTCGTCTCCAGATACTAGCAAAGCACATTCCAGTAATCCACAAACAAATGCAGTCATGCTGTAGTTTGCCATAGGAGGAGACGTTGCATCTTCCTAGATTAACTCCTTCCTTTCATCTGTTGTCAACTATTCTTATCACATGAGCAGTGCATTTTGTGTTCTAATCATACTCGTCTTGACCTGGTGAATGGGATATCCTTCAGAAGTCCGGTGAAGTTCATGGGCAATATGTGCTGATTATAGCTCTTTGAAATTGCCACAAATTTTTGTAAACACTGCCTAGAGTTCTCGACGAGGTTGAGATGTATATCCATATTTGCACTGCGTAACACAGTGCTGTAGCGACCGTTGTGTAAATCAGTTGAGCGAGTAGTTCTGCGTTCGTTAGGTGTCAAGCAGTGCCCAGCTAACACAGGGAAAGATTTTCCCATCTATCTCATAATGGATTTTTCATCGATTACTTTCTTGGAGTCGAGTTATGAGCTCTGCAAGCACTTCTTACGTTTTGTAAAAACCATGGACGACTCCTTTCATGCTTATGCCGCTCGATTATGTGATGGTGTCGGCAGCAAAATGAAGGTTTGATTACAATTTTCTAACTATGTACTTTCTTCTTCTCCTCCAGCCGATGGAGTTTCTTTCTCGCTACAATTTTTTTCTAGACAGCCAGCCAAACTTGTTTTCCTATGAGTATGGTAAGGATGGAAAAGAATTTCTGTACTTAATGACACAGTTGTGATAGTAATTGGTCAGTCTCCGCTACTTGAATGACAAAGGTTGATAATAGAGCCTTGATCACTAAGCTGTCAAAACCTCTTTCGCAGATAACTGAAGTTGTAGCAAGAGTAATTGATATGTCTAACAGATCTCTATAATCCTAGATATTGTACTACTCAAATCTAGAATGCCCATCTACATCTTATAGTTCAACCTGTTCAATCTGTCTTGAAAGTTCTTGCTGTGCGAAAAATATAAAATATTCGTAAAAATTTTTCTATCATACACAAAAGCGAAAAGCAAAGCGGACTATAAGCAGAAATTATCCGTTTAGACGTGAGGGCCTGACATTTATTTTATTCTCTGGCATATCTGAGAACTTCTTCCATCTGGGCTCAGTAAAGGCTTAAGGATCTTTAGTCGTGTCTCCTCATCAACATACTAAATGCTGGTTTGGCTCTGGAATTCCGACATAGTGTTTTTCGGCTGCTCTCAGATTTTTATCACATACACTTGCTAGCTTTAGACGATCGGTGGAATAATTCTTTCTACTTCTGTTCAGCAAACACGAGGTGCTATTTTATTTCCTTATTTACGTACAAGCTGACGTTTCGGCGGATTTTGCCTTCCTCAGGGCCTGGAAAGGTGAAGTTGACAGCAACCTATTCGGCCAAACACCTCCATAACCAAACAGGGATTCTTGCGCGAGGATCGAGAACACAAGCGCGCAAAACTATAGAGGGATCCTGAATTAATTCCAAGAATCCGAAAATGAACCGCAGAGAGGAATGCCTCATTATTGCACGTGATATTCAACAGTATATAAACCTGTTATTCTGATGGGAGGAGCACATTACGCTTCATGTGAAATCTGTGCGGTCGGTCTTCACACGACATACTCAGTGGAAGACTCATAGAAAGCGGTGAGTGTGCAGAGGTGTGTTAAACGTGATTGAAATCTTGGTTTAGCGTTTTCTCTGTTCGGTTATGGAGGTGTTTGGCCGAATAGATTGCTGTTAACCTGACCTCTCCAGGCTCTGAAGAAGGCGAAATCCTCCGAAACGTCAGCTTGTGCGTAGAGAAATAAAATACCACCTCGTGTTTGCTGAACAGAAGTGGAAAGAATTATTCAATCAATGCCGAGGTTAATAGAAAGTCGGACTTGGGATCGGTAGAATATTTACCTTCTTAAAAAATGAATTGTTTTCTTCACGCACGAGTTTTCTCTTTCATCTGAGACGATTACATCAGTTCTTTCCCACATTCCACAGACTTCCAAAGAGTCGTAGTGATTACTACGCTTTTGGCTGATTAAACATTTTGTCAAGAACTGAGTTTTTATGAGAGATATGCAAACAGGGACTCAGTAAGACGATTTCAGTCACCAGTTTGGTCTTAAATTCCAAATGCGACCTTGTATGCTTATTTAATGGTTTCCTTTCCAACTTTTCTAGCTTCAACATAAGATCACCGCCCACAAATTCATGGAAAGATTATGACCCACATAATTCTGTTTTGCACTCTGCATATAGTGATGGATAGCAGCTGAAGATACTGTTCTTTCTATGGCATGGATAGTAAAAGATGAGGATTGTCAAACTATTTGAGAGAATTCCATTCATATCGTCAAGATAGGGAACGGGAAAGTATGTGTCGAAACTTGAACAAGTTACATTTCTTGACAAAGCATTTTGTCTACGGATGAGTGGAGTTCCTTCATTTTAAATTTACTACTAGTAGTTTTGTTAACACAATTATTACTGTCACTACTATTATTACACTTTTGTTAATACTTACACATCTGGACAATTTGTGGTTGACAACGAGATTTTCCTAAGGAGTCCTAACGAAGCGGTACCAGGGCGCATTAAATCCGTTCAATCTGACTGGAATCATGTCCTTGGAATGTCATAAGACGCTTTTCCTTCAAAGTTGTCTTTTCCTAGCAAAGTCGATCGGTTGTATGGAGTAACTCACAGCCAGTATAAAAGAAAACAGAGGATCTTAACTCTATCAGCACTGAGTAGACCACATCTGACCTGCAACTAAACCCATAAAATTCCAACTTTTGTTGATCACGAAAAGTCATTGATAACATCAGCACAGAAAGGTCAGGCGAAAAATGTGAGCCTAAAAACTATCGTAGACCACTAGGCCTGTAAAACTTACCAAGCGTTACCACCTTCACTGAAATTTAGGTCCATATAAAGCGCCATTATCTTTTTCAAGCGGTTCATTTCGTATTGCAAACCATTCCATATAGTTCAGTTGTAAGCAAAGCACTAATCGAAATTTCAGAAAATCAGCAGCGAAGCAGATTTGATTCTCGAAGATTTGCGATGCACATGTACATTAAGTGAAAACAAAGAAGCGAACCTTATTCGCTATGCGTATTCGAAGAAAAGGAAAAAAACGTTAGACGAAAAATCACACCGTAATTGAATAGCACCATAACCTTACCATTTTCATACTATCAAAAACACTACCACCTAATTAAAGAAAATAGAACACAATCCACATTTCTGTTACCGAAGACACTGGACGACACCTCAACCACATCGGGTTAATGAACCCCATTCCCCACCCTATCCCCGGAGCTCGATGTCCATCTATACTCGATTCATCTAGCATCATTTCAAATTGTAGTTAGAACTATTAAGTACTATCTCTTGTTTGTGACTCAGCGGAATTCACATCTGAAGCGGAACAGTGATTATTGTGCTGCGAGAAGTGCCAGCGATGCACGGATAGACGAGACGGATCACCTCAATAGGGCGCTACCTTCCTACAAAACGAAAATCTGCAGTGTGTAAAAACATCCCTTTTAACCCCTTTTTGACTTGAAACAAGCTTTCGTCTGTTTGCATAAATTATTTCTTTGCCTGAAAAGCAATGAATGCAGATCTTGTAGAGTTAGGTCATGCCTGACTCCACGTGTGTCATTTAATAGCACTTACTATCACTAATCATTTGCTATTACTTTTGCTGCAACAATTTTCACTATACATTTCGAAGGTTGATTCTCTATGAATAATTTCTATTACAACATATTATTTCCATCGCTTGTTTGATCGATATGGGATGCCTTTTACGGAAGCTGATGCTGAGAGATGATTCTCTTCAAAACATTGCCTTAGAATGTTCAACATTTGAAGTCAACTATGCTCAAATAGGCAATCCTAGAAAGTCCGTCTCAAGGTGGCGTGAGCACAACAACAAAATTTTTCACGACAGTACTAGGGTTTTTCGACAACTGCCGATAATTTTTCAGTCCCTTCGGGAACCAAGCACTTTTCTGCCCGATATGGCAGACTCTGCTCTATCGCTGCGGGTTATGAGTAGCTTTTCTGAGAACTTATTTCGATTTTCAATCTGTTCAAAACTCAGATTTTTAAGAATTTAAAATTTTTGAGCTGTTTTTCTAAAACTGACACTTCACCCATTAACACCAACGGTGCCATTAGGGAGTCTATAACGTCCTGCTGAACTGTTCACTAGTTTCGCTAGTCGAAATGCAAATGCCTCCAAAAAAAAGCGAGGAAAGAAAATAGAAAAAGATAGAAAAAATACGGCATTGGTTGCAGAGAGAAAAAAGTTGTTTCTTGTATGCAAAGATCAATAGAGTCCAGCGTTTTTTTAATCAACATAATAAACTTAGCTGAAGTTGTTCGTTTAAGGCTTAAAAGTGCAACTATCTTTACGGCAAGTGCGCATTGAAGACCGGACATATCATGAAGATTGTGATAAGATTTTGGCTTTGTTGTAATTGGCGATGTAATAAGCGGTCTACAATTAATTTCGTCTGTTTTGAAAGGTCTCCTATTATTCACCAGACAACGCCAATCCTTATACATACTGGACGCCTTCAAAGTTGAACGCAGCTGCTGGTTGGGTTATGAGTGCTAAGGAGGTAAATTTTAAAACTCGGCTCTTTCTTTCAGGTTATAGAATTATAATACTACCATTATGATGTTGAGATATTTGCAAAATTTCAACAACAGCCGAGAGAAGGGGATAGCAAGGGACTTATTAGTGGAGTGGGCAACACATGAAATCACGAAAAGGTTAATCCTGCCTGCGGTCTAAGTTTTGGAAATATCTTTGCACCACAGTGATTGTATTCTATATAATACAATACCATAAAAAAGAAAAATAATGAGCAATAAATAAAGATCTGTATATTGCGATTTTGATTACACCTTCAGCTTAATCGAGCTCAATTCCAATTTGCGCTCTCCAGATCGTTACCATTGAAGGATGGTTGCTGATGACATAGTTAGGTTAAAAAACCACCTGAGAGAAAAGCTAAGCAAGGGTCTCAACGGTGCGGTGAGTGACACGTGAGATCTCGGAAAGGAAAGTGGCAAATTCGAATCTGGCTTTGGGTCCAAATTGCAAATATTTCAACATCACAGTGGTTGTATTTGGTATAATTCGGTGAAAAAATAACACGCTATAGATAAAAATTAAATGTTGATAATATAATTATTAAAAAGGAAGCGGGTAGCGCAGTGGTAGTGATCCCATTCATTACGTTAAAGGAGCCAGTCTGCCCAGGCGCTGGTTAGACGCCAAGCCGAGCCTGCCAACCCTCTCATTTCTCCTGAGCATAGAAATTGATACCAGACTTGTCTGGGTTCTGCTCCCCTGCATTGTACGTGTCAACCCTCTAGCCTTTATATCTCAGGACTCCAAAAAAATCGCCTTGATCAATATTTAAGGAACTTCATAACGAAGAAGAAAAAAATTTTCAAGCATCAACCGAAACCACACACAAAAAAAGTTCAAAGGCTTTCGTAGACGGTGAATGCGAGAAAACGATTCGAAGCCTGCATCGAAACAACCTGTGCTAGGATTCCCACAGTGTTTTGATACATTTAATGTTGGGTAAAGCAAGTTGTCTTTTTAAAAGATAAATGGTTCAGAAAGTAGACGTTTCATATTCAAACTAGCGTACAGTCCAGAATCATACGAGCATTTAGTTATCTTAACTGGTACTATAAATTGAATAAAAGAAGACCATGATTGACCACTTTTAAATGAATGGTTACTTCTGATGAAACGTCGAAAGCAACATGATTTGCACATCCACTTCGAATGAGATCCACACGTTGATAGCGAATTATTAAATATATTACAGAAAAAAGTAACACTGTCGCATAACAAGCTGCATTTTATTTTATGACTTCCTTCTAAGGCGAGAATTTGAAAAGCAATGCGCCAGCACTGGATTGCTTTGCACAAGATTAACAAAGCCCGCAGGAAAGGAGTTTTTCCCCTTTTGCATCCGTCCGGGATCTCCGGCCATTTCTCGCCCTCTTATCCTCTACAAGGCTTTGAGTTCATGTCTTCTTAGGTCGAAATTGAAACTGCAATTCAGGTTGCTCGATTATTCATGCTTCTCGAAAAGCGAAAGCATAATTGGTATCAACTATTAGTGCTACCAAGTACAGCGAATAGGAACTACGGACGAGGAGTACAGTTAGGTGAATAAATTGACAACATCTAAAGAAAGACGTTGCAGTAACTAAGATTAAATAAACTCGGAAGGTCCACATTTTCCAGGGCTACTTTTACACACTATCACTTTCTTACTGCACGTTTTCTATTAGATTCTGACTTGGAAAAATCTATAAAATTTAAGAATATTTTTAGGAAATGACGGTTCTCTTTATCATTTCGGCTCACTTGCTGGCTCTGAAGGTATAGGATACACGAAAGGAGACCTACAGGTTCGGCAAAAACTTTTTACTCAGATCCTTTCAGGTCTATAAATAGTATCTATAGATCAATAAGTGATAGATTTTGAAGTAATAAACTAATCTTAGAAACTTGTAGTGTGGCGGTGGCGTTTTCTAGCAGGTTTTCTAATACGACATTTGTGATTTTCTAGAACTTTTCCAGAAATGCGTTCTAGAAACAGTAGTGTTTATATACTGTTTTGCTTAGTAAGCTTAATAGCTAAGTGTTTAAAACGGTGCAGCACAAATGGTAGCACAAAAAATAAGTGACACCACAAGTAGCTCAATAGCCTATCATATAAAGTTTTGCTTCGATCAGAAAAGCACAGTATGTTCACAGAACTGAGTGGATGATATGCCAAGTTATTCCACAAGTAGGGTTTAAGCTGTTCGAAAAAGGCAATTCCTGAGTCCATAAAACTAGCTGAGAGACAGGCGAAACGAAGGATCCGCATGGTGTGTTGGTGAACGCGTTACTCCCCGGAAAGGACAATAGCGCGTTCGTTCCCCATCTCAGACACCTGCGGTCCGGAGTTTTGAAAATATCTCAGCATCATTGAAGTTACAATTTCTGAGTATTTATCGAGCCTACTTGCTGGTGCGAAGAACTTAAAAATATGCAATTATTGTAGTATCTCTTGACCAATAACACTTTAATACAGCCATTATTTAATAAATTTTCTTGTCTTCGCTTTCAGCTGTCCATTCTGACGAATTTCCGCGGTCGTGAACAAGGTCAACAAACCTCCTGGATGCATCGGCTATGCCAAATGCTCGCAGAAAACATCATCACCTTGTGACCAGCAACACTAGAGGCGCCAGCGCACGAGTTCCTACCGTGAAGGTGTTGCTGGCGATAACGTTCTCATCTTCTGTACCTTCAGAGCTTGTCATTGGCGACTTAGTGCAGAAGACTTCAAAATGTCAAAAACTTTGCTTTATGAAAAAAGCGAGGACACGTCGTACGGCTATTTTTAAAGTATCACACTGTTCTAACGAGAACACCTGTAAGCATGTCTAATTTCTGTAATACTATATCTTATCCCGAAATGTTTAGTAACTCTAGTTTAGTAAACTCAATCTCACGATTTTCTGATGATGTTCATCTTACGCAAAATATGCACTTTATTAACGGTGGGAATTGGTCCTTACTGGGTGTTTTGTCATATTTTTTACTCAATGGGATTAAAAATTGATGAAAGTAACTGTACCTAGTTTTTCAAGAGGGTACGGTAGTTGAAAGTATTCTTCGAAGAACGCCAGCAATCTTGGTACTAGAGCTAAGGCCATACTGGTATCGTGCAGTTTTTCTTCTTCAGCATAAATGCGAATCTGAATGAATATGCCCTAAAATGTGATCTGGAAAACGGAAGTTCGTCGAAATTCTTCCAGAAGCGTTAAAAACACTGTTTCATTGTCTATGGATTAATTTTCCACAAACGATATGGTTCCTACATCGAGTGTTTAAACAATTCCAGAACGTTTTACATTCCTCCTTTGGTTTCCGCTTTTTTTCTTGTTCACTAACTCTAATAAATCCTATAATCATTCACAGCAGAAAAAGTATAGAAAAAAGCGTAAGTTGAACAGAGAAAAGACAAGACTTTATCAGAGAATACAACAGAAGTATAACAGATATGTATTCTTTCTTTAATGAGCTTACACGAGGTTGATAATGATGTTTATTTTTGGCTAACGTTCTTCGTCTTCCTCAGAGCCGATGATCCGAGTCGATGATCCTCGCTTGCTATTCGTTTCGACGCCGCAGCTTCGCCTTCGTGTCGAGTTAGGTCTTCTTCAGTGAACCATCTCCTCGAATGAGGCATCCTTACTCAGTGATGCCCTTTTATACACGATGCTGATGGTGGATATAATGATAATGTCCCGTGATAACAACTTGTTTTTCTTCCGGACATAATCATCGCGTATAACAGATATATATATATATATATATATATATAACCACGAAAATGCTGGGATATTTGCAAAGTTCCAGAGCTCAGGAGCCTACTGTAGCGATCGAATCCTCTAGTACCCTTTCCAAAGAATAACGTGTTCAACACTACAGCATGAGGGTCCTTCGCTTGCCCTTGCTCTCGGCCGTTTTAATCTATAGGTGCTTTCAGCAACCACTCTTCAACGAGGATGGATTTGAAGAGCACAAATCGTCAACGAATCCACTTAAGCTAAAGGTATATAATCCAGCACAAATCACAATGTAGTACTTTTTGATGCTATAGTATAAATCGCAATTGGTATTTTTTATTTACTGACGTTGATCCGTTGAACGATTGAGCAATTGATTGAATTGAAGGATGGTTTCATCTTGCGATCGTTTAAAACTGACATCCTTTCCAAAAGGATAAACGAACATAAAATGTTAGCGCGACTTAAAAAGATATTCTATATTCGTGTGAGAAAAATATAAGCGGATTGCTTACCCGAACTCCACTCTTCGTGTAGGTTTCCTTATAAGGCATAGTGCTGACCACTATGGAGAAAAGGTAAGTGGACATGACCGGTGAGCGAAGAAATGTGGTCGTTGTCCATTCACTTAAAATAGGTCTTACGGTTAACTAGTTTTGGTCTTATTGTACAATAAAAAGCTGTCTGTTAAAGAAATTTGTATACAAAGGTTAATTAGCCGAACTATTTATGCTTTGCGAAAATTCAAAAATGGAGCACGAAAGTAGAGGCGAGATCGAAGCAGTTAACTTTTTACTACTCTTTTATTCATTTATGTCTTGTGGTAAGTGAAACAGATGTGAAAGTGGTGCGTAAGTGTGGGCTCGTGAAAGCAAATCCTATTAGGTATGTTACAATTTCACGTTCATATTTGCAGGAAATTTGTTAGGAGGATGACCGGAATTCTTCACTTAAAGCGAGGACCTCTTATCTCTGAATGCGTTCTTTTACATTACACTCACCCTTTCGTCGTGATGTTCGCCTCTTTCGTATTAAACAGTGCGTAGGTTCCTGTAGGATGTATTACGGTAGCGTCGAAACGCGCTTTAGCCTCGGGGCTGTCGATACATGGAAAGAGGCTGCGTGCTTCTTGCGGTTGTAAATGGGTGGCCGTTTTGAACCTGTAAGAGAAAAGTGTTTCAGAACCTTCTACGAAGAATTAGCTAGACAGTAATAACAGAAAAATGATTTTAGAAAAGCATAGCCATGAAAAGCCAAACGCATTTTATTTCCGTTGTCGTCTTACATAGTATTCTCTTCATAAAATAAAGAAGAAACAGAACATAATCATAGATATATCAGAACTTTCCGTTACTATAACATGTCTTTATCAAACAACAATTTGCTTGTAACAAGACCTAGATATCAAAGATCACTGTTAAATTCTCTACCTTTCGCAAACTTCACAGCTGGCAGAGAATAAAATGATAGGCTTAGAGTTTCAGTACCAAGTACGTAGTGAGACACTTGTGGTGGTGCATCGAATGCTATAGTAGGAGAGTGATATATAGGAACGAGCTCTGCTCAACTATTTCCTTTATAATTTGCTGAATCGTTCCTTCACGTACCGTTTCTCGCACAAAATCCCATGCCGAAAATAACACATTGCTCTAGTTTATCGCTGGAAACCTCGCTTTATTTAAGAGACACAAAATAAGCTTTAAATTGAAGGATGAGGACAAAACAGACATCAAAAGCGGCAAAAGTCGATGTATGAGAAGAAAAAACTAAACACTCCTTGCCTATGGGGATCCTATCGGTTTTATGATTCCCATATTCCACTTCACACTTACCTCATAGAAAAACCCAACACTTATGCTTTAAATGAGTTTAGAAGCATAAATAAAAGTTGTAGACAGCGAAATATGCTGTGAAATTGGAAAACGTCAAACCTATTTTCCGGACCATGTCTATAAGGAGCCGAGAAAATCCCGGCGAATTTCTGGTTGTTGATTTTCGTCCGAAACTCCAAAATGACAGTGTAATTGTGACCAGGACATAGATCCGATGATGAGAATATATCCAGAAGCTGCGGATGTTCTTCAGAGACCTGTGCAAAGAAGTAATGTCCCAATCAGTCTAAGAATTTATTCATTAACTTGAAAGGCATAAGTCGAAAGATAAATGATGCGCAAGCGAGAAAGAATAAATGCAGGATTGATCCGAAGCAGATAATGTTGCCTCATGTCATTTTTTTCTGTTGGACTCCAATTCTGTTGGACTAACTTTTACCTGTACGAAAAAAAATTCTTAGGACAAGTAAGCATTGGTATAAAAACATACTCCTTCGACGTGCAACCGTGCGGTGCCATGATAGAGTCGCAGAGAAGTGATATTCAGCTGTTTCACATGAAGTTGAATTCGTTTCGTAAACTGACGAACAGTGAAATGCATACTCGCCAGACCGTTTAGCGTGAAGTCAAGCTGACCAAACGACACGCCACTTAACAAAAGTTTCTATTTTGGCAGAAATTGGAAACGCTGCCGTGTTCTCATGTCTCTCTTGTTTTTGAGCCTAGTTTTTTCCTCGTGGAAACTTAAGTAGGCCCTTTTGAATAAATGAAGTTATGTCAGATCATATTGGATTTTCTCAAAAAAAGTTTTCCTAGAGTCAATTCCTAGGCAGTGGGATTGAATACCACAATCAAAAATTAAATATTTCTTGTTTTTCATCGCTTAATGGGGAAGGTCTAGTAGGATTGCTTTCAGCAACACCGAAAAGAGGGTATTTCTATAGCTATAGATGCTAGTAACCTAACAAAAATACATTTGTGTCAGTTACCGTCAACTATCTAAGTCATCCGAATGTATCTTGTAACCGAATCATTTTTGTAACTATAGAGTACAGAAGTTTAAGTAGGAAACTTACGGGCGCCAGGGCAGAAACAGTTTCAGCTGCACTTGGTATAGATAAGGTTGAATGATGCTCGGAATGTGTCTCCTATGGAACGGTTGGTTGGCGAAGCGGTACGGATAGTCGTCGCCATGTGGCAGCACGTTCTGTTTGGACGATGATCGAATTGGAATTGTGCTCGGTGGCAGCTGTGATTGTAGTAGAGAAGATGATGAATTTAAAAAAAGACGGGGAAACGTGATGAGAATATAGATGAATACGAATATCATAGTAAGCAGTACTGCTGTCAAAACTAACGGCCTTTTAGCTTCGTATGTAGAGACCATTGACGGCATCACAATATGCAAGTCAGCACTCAAAACGACAATCTTGTCACAGACGTCGTCGACGATGTTCTAGAAAAGCAGTGATGCATCGGCAGAGGTGCGTTTAAGTGTTCGTGTTAGTCAAGGCATAGGTCGATTTGGTAATGAATTCGGAGCTGACAGACATGCCAAGCACTTAAGTATACTTTTAATTATCGTCGTCGGATGTACATAATCAGCCGTTGCTCGGGAGCAAGAATGCAAGGACACCACTGACGTTTGGCGATGGCTACGCAGTGAAAACCAGTTAGAACAGCGAAAAGATTAACTATGCAATCAAATATCCCAATGCAGAGTAATATGTATTTTCATACATTTTCTGTTGTGCACAGTGCGGCAAATTAGGATCCGCAAAGGGAAAAATCGAAGATGAAATAAGGAAGTGGTGTGGATTGTACGTAATAGCAGTCACTCACTTGATTGACTCCATCTCATTTACACTCATGGAATTTGTTACTACGACTCGTAGGGTTGTTAAGGGGTTAATCATCGGTATTTTTTTTTGATTTTTCGTTTTTGTTTCTGTTCTGTCACTTTCTAGTTTCTTGTTCAAGGTGTTCGTTCCTTTTTCTTAAATGAGTAAACGTATGGAAGAGTTTCATAAATGGGGCATTAATTCAGCATCAGCATTTATTACAGGTCATAGTGCATCCGAAAGCGAGTATAGCTCAATGGGTAAACGTAGTGGACGTACCCTGCAACTCATACACATGGTCGTAGGTTCGACCTCGTACCCTATGCAAATCAAGTCCTCTACCCTCCCAGAAAAAAAAAGAATTAGTGGCAGACATAATCCGATACATGAGAAGAGCCCCCAAATCATTCCATTGGCCCAATGTTGTCCTCACCCTTAAGAAATTGGTCAAAGCCAAAACTCCATATTCTACACTTTAATATGTTACTGACGGAACAATATTTTTGCCTTGAATCCGGCGATACTCGTGTCAGAGCGTTTCCGGGACGTCACTGGTTGCGTGCTATTGACGATATCGCTGCTAGGGTGCAACGGTGTCTGGCACTGGTTTGCTCTTATGAAGGCTTTCAGAAGAGAATGTTGAACCCTTTGTCACGTAAAGCAGTTCCCGCTATTGTTTTTTTTCTTTCAAATGCATGCAGTGTTCGTCAGCAATGACATAAAATAACTATTTTTATCCTTATTCTACCATAAATCTTGACGAAGAAGTGAGACCAATGTCCTTAAATAATAGTACGACCGACAGTAACATTTTCTTTTACGCATGCAAGTAGATAATTTGGGAATTCCGAGCGAGGACAGCTCATATTCGTTGAACTCATTCAAAATGCACCAGATTTGCACACCAAGCACTAGATAAGCAGCAGTCATTGTGGACGCCCTCAACGCATGACTACTCAGAAATTACAGACGCACCCTAAATGTGGGCGGTCCTAAGACCACTTGTTCAAGGTGTCGTTAGGCAGTACTATAATGCTGAACATTACGCCTGAAACTGGTGAAGAGCAAGTAAAAAGCGACATGTAAGCTGGCAGAAGTAACAAAAAATTAAGAAGCAAAAGTGGTATTCCAGAAAAGATTTGTATAATCAAATGTGACAGAGAATAGCTGGCACAGTAATAATAAGTACTACAAGTAATATAAATAGAAATAATGAGTGAATAAGAAGAAAAAATGCTATTATAAAATGCTATTGTAGCATTTATAAAAGTAACAATTGATGAACTACGTGAAGAGCTTAAGACAGACATCAGTCTGAGAGCACGAAATCGAGGAAAGGTTTTGACTTCGAACTATCAACCTTTACGCAGGAATAGCGGAGGAGGTGTATGTCACGGGCTCCAGAAGGTCGTATTTCCATATTGCCGAATTGATCCAATCGCATTTTATAGGCAAGAAATTGTTGGCTCCAGTATATTTTACTGTGAAAAAATAATAGTCAATAAATAAAGGTTAAAAATTATGATTTCGACTTCAATTTCCGCCTAAGTGGGTTCAATGCCAATTTGTGCCCCCCACATCATTCCCGTTGACGGGCGGTTGGTGATAGCACCAAAAAGTAAGAAAAAACTAGCTGAGAGAAGGCAAGTCAACGGCTGTGATTGGTGTGGTGGATAGCACGCGAAACTTTAATGAGGGAAGTCTCGGGATCGAAGCCTAACCGATGTTGCAGTTCTTGCTCATATCCGGGACCGCTTCTAGTTGTATTCTACACATTACTATCCTATAAAGGAAGAATAAGCACTAGACAAAAGTTAAGTCACCTCAACCATTTGCTTTTCAATTTTCTTCAAATGAAGTTCTGCGATTTTCTGCTCCTATTATGGCATCTATAGGGTGCAGATCTTGTCCATATTTTTTTCAAGCTAATGAACTCGTCATTAGCTAATTTATTTTAGCCTAGCCTATTCAAATGAAAGGGAAAAATGGAAAACTAAGTCAGTTTGTTTCGCTGCAGCAAAAGCAGAGAAACGGCAAGCATTACCATCGTTACAAGCAGTGCTGTTAAGCAGGGGGCGGCTTGATGATGGTTTCAAATATTTCGTAACGAAGGTGGTGTGAGCTTTGAAATTTGAAGATTGCTGGTGAGCACTAATACGAGAACTGAAATGGAACCCAGAAAATTCTACAAAGACATTTGGAGAAGCTTAGAAATTCTTTCGGAACGCATTAACCAACTGCAGAGTCAAAGCATTTCAACAGATGTTTATCGAATGAGAAAAGCAAGCTCATTCGGACTGATACTTGTTTATACCATAAAGAGAGAACCGCCCTTTCCTGGGTGATATCAGAAGATACCATGAAAAACGGATTCAGTAAGACAATCGACAACGTTTTCACGTTTTCACGAATGGAGTGATCCATAAAAGCATTTGATGAAACCGGACTCCGTAAGGCAAGTGGCGGGAAATAAACATAAACACTACACGATGAGCACTGACAAGTCGAAAAGACACATTTCTGTTGAATAACGATGCCGCGACCACAAATCGAAGACGCAAAACTATGATCTTTGAAGGATCAGAGTATGAAGCTGAACACTACCCATCACGCACACCAGACCTCTCGTCAACGTGCTGTAGGAATTTCAAGAACTTCCAGAACTACTTGCTGATAAAATACTTGAAAGTCTGAAAGTTCCATGCGGAGGTCTCAAGAAGCTTGGAACATAGCAGAAATGCCAGAAGTGACCTTGTCTCTCTATGCATACCGTGGTTTTTGAAGTTCTTATTTGGTAATAATAAAGTTAGCTATGATCTGAATTTGCGAATTTGGAGCAGAAAGTTAAAATGCGATGTTATTTTTTCAAAAACCAATTTCGCAGACCGAAAGAGGTGATATTAAGCGATCTGAAGTTTTCAATTAGTGACGGAGTACGTTCATTTTCCAAGTTAATTCATAAGATTTGTTTGCCTTGAAGAGGGTTCCACTGACATTTTTTAGGAATATTCAATGCGATATTCCCGCACCTTTCTATGAGTAGGGAAGTGAAGTGATATTTCAGTAGTTGCTAGAAACAATAAGGGAGCAATTTAGGGAGAGCTTCGTCAATAGAAAACAATTCATCGATGGTTCGATCAGTTAGACTTCAGAGATGAAGGATTCGCAAAGGAGAAACTTGGAATATCCATGACTATCGTCGGCGTCGAAGAGTTGCATGTACTCCTTAATTTTTTGAAGTGAACCCACGGCATGTTCTTCGGCTACTAACAGAAAGAAATTGAACGTGTCACTTTTTCACGGTGAGTAGATTCCAAGCGATTCCATTAACAGATAGAAAATCGACAATTCAAGGGCTCACTCGCTGCTCATTCACAATCAATTCAAGCTTTCCGGTTCACTTGTGGCAAAAGAAACGCTCTTTTCAGAAGTGGAATGTTTGATGGAAAGTCGTAGCATATTCCTAAGCATGTGTTACACTTAAAGAAGACTATGGTTATCTCGTGATCGATGGTGGGAGCTATCTATTACAACTTTCCAAATGTGGGTAAAGATATGCCAGCAGGAAGCCATTGGCTCTAAATCGAAGCAATGCATCAGGATTGAAATCTAAGTAACCTATAGCATTTCGAGCTTGACTTTCAAAAGGTCTAATCGTGGGAAACGTAATTATGTGCGACATGTTAGCAGGAGTTTTCGAAGTGTCCTCGACTGAGTAGAAAGATCATTAAGAGTCCTAGTATGTTGCGGTATTTATGGTGTTCGTTGCAGTCTATATGAGAATTCAAAATATTCATTTGATACTTGATACTTGAACGGCCCTTTATCACTAGTTGTGAGAGCCCGAGCATAATCACCATTTTTCGGAGATTTGCTGGTTAAGCCATTGTGGTTCCCTGGAATCAAGAGGACAGTCTGGCCAAAGTCTGCCCCATTTCATAGTGTTTAGTTCTGCAAAATATTCTCGCTTAATCGAAAACCCGTGCATCACCGATTCATATATAAATTTTTGTGGGAACGTCCAAGAGAAATAATACCTTGCATCGATTTTTAAAATAAGCACGGAAACCATAACAAACAGCGAAATTGAACGCGATGAGAGAAGCAACATAGCAAAGGTAGGGAATTTTCAGAACGAGGTCGATACTTAATTACTCGATGGTAATAAGCCCGAGAAGAATTATTCACCAATGGCATGAAAATAACAAACCGGCGCTCAATGATTCTCAGGCCATTTAGGCGATGTATATGAAACAAATACGGGACGGATAGCCTATTGGTTGCAATGTGGACCATCCTGAGCACGGTGCTTGTTGATCTCACACCTGGTTCGCCAAACCTCTGAACCCTGCGGGTAGGAAACTGGTACCAGACTTGCCCGGTAAAAAATCACTCTCTGCAGTGCAATTGGGAACGATTCAACTCGGCTATCTCATAACTTCAGGCGGAATCTATTCGACCAGCATTCTACGACATTCGAGATGAAATGAAAATCTTCAAGCAGCAGCCGAAGCTACACGTAAATGTTGGAAGATCTTCGCAGATGATGGCGGCG